GATCTAGTTGAGTGGAAGAAGAAGATCCCAAAATAAGATCTATTACTATGCCACAGTGCTCCCTGTCATAACGTGGGAAATTAAACCTACAACAACAACATAGTAAACAAAACTACAGACCCAAAGGCAAAAACTACTGGATGCACACACTGTGATACATAATTCCGTTTCGGTTCAACCACAGTTGGCGGACCACAAGTAATTGCTCGAGGGATAAAAAAACCTCTCGAATATCTACAACAGGCTTTACAGATGGGTCTACTTGTACTCTATGGTCCCTACAAACTGTCCCGAGAATCAAATAGAAAATGTGCATTCACGAGGGTCGCAGTTTTGCCTGAGGTTTGAAGGCAGATAAGCCCGTTAGAAATCATGTCAGAAATGATATATTTCAGTACCAGCACCAGCAGTCGCAATATAAAAGAGAGAGGCAAGGACATTATCAGGTTGTTTATTTATGAACTTCAAAAGTGGGGGATTCGTTCCAACTACAAAATAAAGGGCTTTCAAAATCTTAGATTATTCCAACTTACTTAACTATGCAAAGGTTATATTATTGACAGTGATAGAGACTTTGCAATGTAGTTCCAGCCTGACGAGAGTTTCTCCAACGTTAAGGGCTTGCAATAGTCATCCAGAGAAGGGCAAGGAAGTGTGAGAGAGGGTAAAAGCCATGTCAAAAATACTTTGCAACCAAAGCTTGTTAACTCTGGGCAACAACAAGCAATAATATAGGTTAATAGTGTTCATAACACGTTGTGTCTGAGAATGGACTCGAAGGCGACGTCGCCGCAAGTTGAAGATTTGAGGACCCCACCACTTGACGAAGGTTATATTAATCACATCATCACATTGAGTGATTCGTGATGACCACTGGGGATCAAGTGAAAGTTTTATTTTATTTCATATATTTTTAGGACAGCTATAAATCTTTCCTGATAGAGTGGTCAAATAGTTGAGATTGTTTATGAGACACGTCAGAAAATAAAAAAGGAAACACCGAGTATAGAAATGTTGACATGCATGGCATTACGAGGAACTTTATTTACCTGCGCAAGGGAAGCTTCCTAGACATTAATATCCAAGGCCGCTGTCGGAGATACTTGATATAGAAGTTCGGTTGCCAGGTTCTCCCACGAGGCTGTAAGTAAGGGAGATGGATCGATATGCGCTAATTTCGTTAGACCACGCAGTATTATCTCCACAGTCATGGATAGCGGAAGTTCGGTGTTGGAAACTGTAATATCTCTCCTACTGCGGATCAACTAGTCGGTCATGCTGCGGATGGTTGCGTGTAAATTTCATATGTAACTGCCAATCCGCTAGCTTCGCTATTTAGCCTTCTTGACGCTTGCGAAAAACTAAGCTCGCTAGAGGGTTTGGGGGCTAAAACGCAGAAGCGAGAAACGAAGGCCAATAGGACGCTTAGTTACCCCCGTGTCCGCTTAAACAACCTCACTACCCCGTAGGATGGCTCCAAAAGGAGAGCTTAAATCACCCACGGCGGCCCCCTATCTGAAAAAAGCGGCTGCATCCGCGCCTCCCAACGGATTCTCGATAAAACTGAGATCAACCGTTTGGCAACGTCTGCATTGTCCCGTCCTGTTTCACTGAATAAGTGGCAATAATGGCTCAACTGCAGGTGACCGTTGTGTCTTTGTCTTATCCATTTTTAACTATCCAGCAAAACTGATATAAAAATATAATGAGATATCAGTCGAGAGTTGTACGAAACCGACATGGCCTCTCGCATATATTTCGGCTTAGCTTTAAATTTGTGCGTCTTACAAACAATATAAACAACATAGTATACAACGGGAGGAAATGACAGCAGACGGCAGAAGGATATTAAGGAAACGCTCTGCCTAGTGCAATATGTCATGCGCTTTTCCTTGACTAAGTAAGATTTTGGGTCAGGTTTCTGTTCGTGGAACAACCTTTTGGGAAGAAGGAAAAGGAGTTTGAAAAGTCTTAGAAAAATCAAACGACATTGAAATGGAAAGCTGCTGGGAGCCAGCCTTTTTAAACGGTTTCGAGTTACTCCGTACTACCAGCATAGATCTTGGGGCCGAATGCCTAGTACTAAAAACAAAGGGAAAGGAAAGGAAAGGAAAGGTAAAAGAAGAATGAAAAGGATCTAAGGTTTTTTTTTTTTTTGGTAAGAAAAGAGCAGGATCTAGTAATGTTGGCTGGAACAAACAGACGTCAGCCATGACTGCGGAGTCCGACTCTAAATTTGACGGCTCGATTTGTTGGTACTACCACCGTTCTGTGTCTGTGTCTGTTTGTCAGCCCTTAGGGGTTGCCGATTGGATTCTGGGCTCCGTACTTAAATGTTGTTGGCGGAATGGTTCGAAAGCACGAGTAACTAATGGATAGCCGCGCCGCAGACGAAGTGCAACTCTCAGATATCAAAAGCAGTTCAACAACTTAATCAATGCAAATGCCCTTAACACGCATAATATGTGTATGCATTAAGAATGAATTTACTAGTCGTACTATGGAAATGAACTCCGCTCAGCGGTGTGGTCTGGTGCCTTTTGAACCTCTGATATATACCAAAATAAATCCAGCTCCATTGAAATAAGCCAGGAAATACATCGTTTATACCCCTGTAAGTGATAAATGACTGCCATACAAAAATAAAAGAAAAAATATAACGGAAGAGTATGAAACTGGATGGTTTGTCGGGGGTATCAAATGAACAATGAAAGGGATTCTAAATCACAAGAGCGGTCTAGAGACCACCTAAAATAAAATCTATATCGAAGCCACCGGCCATGTCATGCATGTCAGAGAGTTTCAAGAAACTAGCAGGATTCAAAACTCCCAATCCCACTGACACGAGCTCATGGGTAGAATGCACTGTCATTTGGTAACATTCATGGAAGGATTAAACCCAACAGAATATCACCCTGACAAGAATAAACAGAGGCGAGCAGGAGCAGGAAAAGGGGTAGCTAACCGAAGAGCTCCGTATCCGAAGGAACAAGTTCCTCAGTGACGACTCTCGTCTTCTTGAGACTCTTCTTTGACTTCGTCGTCACGGGGGGCTGAATTTGAATGGGTGGAACGGGAATTGAACGGTGTTCCTTGACTGGCCCCAGTGGTGCCTTCTCGGCATCCGAATAAAGGCTGCGTGGAGAGTTTTGTTTCAATGTATTCGGTGTGTTCATGGAAGAAAGTGCAGGGCTAGTCTGGAATGGTCGCCCGTCGAAAGAAGAAACTAATGTACCACTCGGGCTTCTGGACCCAACGGGGGTGTTTGACGACGATGACGACGATGACGTTAGAGGTTGGCTATGGTATGACTGATGGCGTGGAATATCTGAAGACAAAACGGGGTCCATGAAACTGGAATTGGAACTTATGGTGGAGAGTTGTCGTTTGTGTTTTTCGCTGTCGTTCGAGCTGGTTATCGAGAGAGGCGACTTGGGTTTGCCTATGTCAGCCATTTGTTTGAGGAATTCTTCACTGGCAGGCTTATAGACAAAAGCTGGTGGGTCCGAGCTACGCGCTGGGGGATTTGCCGTGCTACTCTCTTTCTCCTGTTGAGAAAAAGAAGGCTGAGGATTGGACGAAGCAGTAACCTTTTCGTCCTCGCTATCAGAAAAACAACAAGCCGTCCAGGTTTTCGACCCACTTCTTCTGCTGTCATGTTCATGGTCCTTGAAGGCACGATCCCCCGAAGTTGTTGTGCTTATTGGAAGTTGATTCCAGCCACCTGCCATGGGTGCTGTGATAGCCAAATCCCCAAATCTCTCGTCAAGAACCCTCCGATTCCCATTCCTGCGGATTCTGCATCGCTCCAGGTAGTTCTGAAACCAGGAGAGAGCCATGTCTATGAGGATGTCTAGATTCCGAGTAGCTAGTGCGTGATAAAAAAATAATCACGCTTTTCGCCAAGGCTTGAGATGAAGAAGAGCGTGTTGACGTTCCAAAAGATACTATGGAATGAGACGGATGAACGGCGTGGGAGAAGTCTAGATTGATGTTATATAAAGTCGAGGGTGTTATGATACCTCACAAGCATGAGCCCACGCCTCTGAAGCGGCAGAGCAGAGGTATTAATACTGCATGGAGCGGCAGACCCACTGGTTCCCTCAGCATCTCCAAGTGACACACACAGACACCCTGAGAATATGGTCCGCCAGAGCTCGAGCAAGAGCCCACTGGCGAGACCTGACGTTAAAAGGAATGAGAACAACGAAATAAAACCTTAAGCCATAAGGAGGACCATCAAATTGTTTGGAAAAAGATGAAATGAACAAAAAAAGGGAAATTGAGTCGAGAAGAAGATGGAGGTTGCACACCTGCTGAGAATGAGTAACTAGCATATGCTGGATGCCAACAATCAGCTCCTCTATCTGCATGGGGCTTCTGCGTATATATCATTATCCTTGGGGGGGGGGGGGGGGGGGGGGAAGCAAAAAGTTAAGTTTGCTTGTTGAGATGTAATAAAAGCAAATAATACTGAAAAAGTGAAGCCCGGTCTGAAAAATAGAAGTTAATTTCCTAAATATAGAAACATTAGCTACATATTGTGGACCAGAGGGCGAATCAAGAATCATGGCAATTTTAGAAAAAGGCTAAGTTAGCAAGTTAGCTGAGTTAGCAAAAAGTGAACTGTCCAGGACTGTCCTGGGACAAGGGCAGCGGACTAGGATGATGGCTTTGGTAATCCAGATCAATTACGGAGGAGGAGCAAGCGGGGACGATCTTTGACAGGGAGCCAGGCACATCAGCATCCGGCAACTGAATGAGACAAGATGCAAGACCTAGCCGCATGAGGAGGGGGATATGGCAGGAAACTTCATTTCATCTTCCGTCCCGAACTATTCTGACCCATGAGAATGGTTCAATACAGCCTGCGCAATAGTGGGTGCAGTGTGGGTCGCAGCATACTCCTACGTGGAATGGAGCGTCCGAAACCTTCTCAGAGGATCACCCACCCCGATACCCGGGAAGAACAGGATAAGAGGAGGCTAAACTGGGAACGGCTAGAAGTCCGCCGAGATGCATACAGCATGATAGGCCCGAGAGGAGGATCCCTGAGAGGAGAGCAGCATCCGATTCTGCCCATTATGGTGACGGTGATTGGAAGCGTGCAGGAGAGGATCCGTGGAAGTTCCAGCATCTCCAGCGGTCCAGCGTTGGGAGCTGGGAACATCGGGAGGTTGTTTGCAGCGTTTGTTTGCGGCTGCATCGTCAAATGCCCATTTGAGTTTAGCTTGGTTGATTACTACATAGTCACAGCCAATAGGAATTACATAATCCCGACTACTGTGTGTTCGCTTCCGGTAGCATTGCAGCATCCACGCCCTCCATGGGATAAACATTTCGTATCTCATGTTTTTGGCAGCTCAACCACAGCTCCCATCACCTTTCAGCAATAAGAGTGTGGAGGGCACGGGCGTCGTAATGTGTTTACTTCCCTGACCTCCTGCATACCGGAGTTAACATAGCATACCCGGTGGTGGTTGGACAAGGCGTTTTCCATCGTCGTTATTATTGTTCACGATTCATCCGCGTCCAAAATTTGCAATGATCTGCCTGTCAAGGACAACTTCGGGCTCTTGGACATCCATAACGTATACACCAGTTCCAAAGTTACTATTAGAGGGCTTAGTGGACAACATCCTTCTTTTGTTCCTTTAATATTAACCGGAACCTCAATTTTGGTCGGACAGCACAGCGAGATTCGCCTCTAGTCAATGCCTAGTCCCAAATTGCTGAATTTCGCTACTCAGGTACTTACTTTCCAATGGTCAAAAAGCAACATATTTTTGTTCTCATAGAGGGGCAGAACTTTTGATTCGTTGTTCCATGTTTCTGGGGTCCAAAACGAAAAGATGAAAGAGAAAGAAGAAAAAAAAAAAAAAAAAAAAAAAAGACACATCAGCCTCAGAGCTCGGATACCCTTTCAACTCTTCAGCCATGATTCACGGATATGTGCTAACCTCGCGCACATCATTTGCCATGGCGCATCATGAGCTGATGGTGCAGCCCTCTCGTCAAGCTAGTCATATCGACTGAACCAATTACATTTCCGGTTGCTTTGCTCTGAATAACCAAGGAGCTGGGTTGCCTCCGAAGGCTTTTGAGGCTTCAAGCTTCAACAAACTTCAAGGGGACTTTACATTAATCTGGCATTCCCCCCTCCCCCCCCTTTTTTATTTTTTTATTTTATTTTATTTTATTTTATTTTATTTTATTTTTTTTTGGTGGATGGGGTAACTACCTGGACATTTGCATCCATATCTCGAATTGCTATTCGCGATAAGTTACATTAGGAACAATTATTGCGAACATTAAACAGCAAGCTTTTTTAGTTCATCCTGTTAATTATGCAGAGGCTTATTTCGTCGTCAAAATCTTTAAATCACCCAACAACGAGCGGAAAAACTTGAAATTATCAACGTTTCTGTCTATATTTATGAAAGATGGCCTGGCGCAACATCACTCTTCCACCGTTACAAGATATCGCTTTTCATCCTGCATTTTGTTCTCCGACATTCCTCTTTGGCCTTAATCCTGTTCTTTAAACTCGAAAATTTCGAATGCACCGTCCCCTTTCTTTTCAACCCTAACCAATTGGAACGAAACTCCGGGGTGTCAGAAGTGTCAGTCGCTAATAAGCTATGTATATCCATCTAACAACTGGCAGCGAATAGGCCATCCGCACTTTCTCCCGTATCCTTCCCGTCAGATATGGACAGCATGATATGATTAAAAGCAAATATTTGTAAATTCGTCAATTTAGATGATCTTACGGGCAAGAAAAACAAAGCAAACTTAATCGGCAACTTCTCAGCTCCGTCCATGGCACCATCTTTGTTCAAAACCTCAGGTTGATTCAAAACAGTGTACCTACTCTATCTCTCGACCGGCGCCTCTTTCGAGACTAAAACCCATGCCCTAAGTTCCACAACACAAGCTTGATGCAAGTGGATTTCCTCCTCCATGACCCACGGCTGTCATCCTAGTTACAATATTTATTCAGATATTTTTAAAATTTATCGGTTTATAGGATCGATCTATTGTCGAGCTGCATTTCTGGCCACCTGGATAGTTGCTTGTTATTATCGCACTCAAGCAAAGTGAAAAGAAAGATCAACGTCGTCGCTCACCACACATCTCTGAAGGAAATTTCACATCTTACAACCTGCCGTGGGAATGACTGCTAGCTTGCTAAGCTATAGTCACGCCCAGTTTCGGAGGAAATATATGATCCTTTCATCAACCAGGAACAGCGGGTAGCATGCACACAGCAAAGCTTAAAGCAACTTCTTATGTTTCCCCTACCCGCAACTAACTAATCTACATAATCTCCCATGAGTCCATGACCATTCTAGCATTCTAGCACCGATGTAATTCATGCTCTGCCGTTACCCACGGGGCGCTCCGATAAAGACCCGCTCCCTGTCGCAAGCGATACGCCTGATTGTATATATGTACTGTACATATAATATACATGAGCACTTGTCGGTGCTCCCGAATCCGCATGTGACGTGTCTTTATTCGAACAGACGCAGCTTTTAACCCGGATTGCGCAGGCTGGTCGCCAAATAGACACCGCAGGGAAATCAAATTTCATGCCGCTAGAGCGGCTAACACTCATACAACCACTGCTGGGTTAAGAACTGGTGGTCAATGTTGTCGAATCTCTATCATTTGACCCCGTGAAATGGCAGGGAGTGCCGTAAATGTACTTGACTACCTTGCAGTCACTAAAAACTATCCACAGTATCTAAGTATAGTAGTTACCCTGCTGATTGCACGACTGCAACCACCGAGAAATGATCGGGGTTCCAAGTTTTTGATGCACATCACCGCGGTACACCGGCAAATCGAAACAAGGGCAAGGATGATGAAAGCAAAGACTTAACAAAAGTTAACAGATCCCATCAGCATCCGTCCCCCACCTGGTTACATACTCCCTTCTTCAACCACACTAGTTTTCGATCCCTTTCTCCCCGCAATAATAGGTTGTTAACCTTTCGCATCTGACCCGGGCAGCCAATCAGCGAACGAAGCTCAGCTGTTGGTTTAGCCCTTGGTATCTCGTCAATTCCCATAGTTAAAGATGCGGAATATTATTTACATGATTTTCCTTTTCCATTTTGTTTTAACTATAGGATCGACAATACTGCTGATCCCCCACTAACTACCCAGGATGTCGGTCAAAAATTGCGCGCCTAAGTCAAGAGTAATAATGATAATAACCCTTATCTACGACACATGTTGATGGATTAAACCTGCGACATGAAGGCCAGATCCGGACACAGGTTGAGGCGGGGAAAGAGGTAGTTAGGTTAGGTCTTGCATAAGAGCTCTCTGGGGAAACGCGCTTGTAACCTCTGGCGTTCTTTAGTCGGAGTTGAATATTAACTAGTTCGATGAGCAAATGAAAAATTGTCGGGCTCCAAGTGTTCGGCCTCCTGGAGAGGGTAAAGGTTGCAACCCAAAACACAATAATAACAATTGTAAATATAATTAAGTTAAAATTAAAATTAAAAGAAGGAAATATATAAACAAATAAAACGTTCATTCTTCAGCTACTCTAGACTCTATGATAAATCATCCGACTCTGCTTCTGGAATACCTGCTACTGGGTTGTTAGTGATTCATCTCGGAAGTATGAGCTAGTAGACTAAGAAAGGGAGACATATACAACAAAAATGGGAGACCTCCGGAGTGCAGTTTTTTCAAGTGGTAACAAACTCAACAGCATGTAATAATAATTTTTTTTTTCTCACTCTCTCCTCTTTCAAATGAGTGTTGTTCCATGCAAGTTAATCGTGTACTATCATCTCAGTTAATGGCTACCTAGGGATTTGCAGTAAAGATGGTACTTTCTGCTGATGACTCGCGATTCTGGACAGTTATGCCACGGACGGGTATGAACAGTCCATGCACATGCAAACATAACATCAGATGAACCCAGTATGTCTATCCATAGCAACCAGAAGCACCCTCCAGATATTGGTCTGAGTGTGCGGGGACAGAGGAGACAACATTAAATGTGAACCAAGTTGTCGCTAGAAAGAGACAATGACCACCACACTACACTCTTGGCCGACGATCTGAATGCACTGGCACGTTGGCTCATCCATTCTATGTGTATTCTGTTGCCCCTAGCACATCTCCCGGATATAATGGGTGAAACAAAAGAACATAAAAATATGGCAACACAGTGTAAGACACTTGGCGGATGCAGAGGAAAATACTCAGTGGTTTAATTATCCGGCAGACTTCCATTCTACCATTGCTAACTTGAATCAGACGACGTAGGAGACGGGGGTTGGCTTCTTGTTCCGGCGCTTATGAGAAAGGCAGGGAGTGTAGCCGCATACAGGACGGCCGCAGCAGTAGCCGGAGACCGTGCTGGCATTGCTGTCAGAACATGAGTGGTGGAATGACGCCGTGAGTGGTTTGGAGTGTGCCCTTTACTACCACTAGCCCACTCCGACATATTTGAATATGGAGTTTCGTTAGGTGAGATCGGTTCAGGGAGTCTAAAATTCTGAGGCAATGCAGAATCCAACGGGACATCCTCGTGCTCCAAATTTAGAGTAAAGAGGGTCTCGCTGGCCTTTTGAGTTGTGGGGGATTTCGGCACGTTGTGTTCACTCATTTGAAGATCTTCAGCCGAAGTAACATAAATTCGGGAAGACGTGACGTTAGAACCAAAATTCTCCTGAGATATCGAACTTCGTGTTTTGCGGAGTTGACGGACAGGCTGTCGGGCAACCTCTGAATCTTCGCTAGCATCAGCACTGTACGAGCTGCTACGATGAGCTCGGGTCTTCATATGCGGAGGGGCAACCTCATCTGTGATTGGATCAATAATTTTTCCCACTGGTGGATCGACGCGATCAACATGAAAAATAACCCTTGCTCGCATGGTTTGAACGGCAGAATCCAAGGCCAGTTCAACGGCACAGTGATTCCTTATCCTGCCTAGTTTGGGCCACGTCGCTCGTTCACCGCTGAGGCAGGCTTGCGTCATAAATTCAGTGGTAGGATTCCTCAGGATGTTTGGGAATACTTCATATGGTATCTGAGGGAGGATATTGATGTCTCCATAATACGTTTGGCTCATGATGGATCTGAGTTTTCGTAAAACGTTAGGGAATACCCCGATCTCAGAAAGGACGTGTATTCGATGTAATATCTCCTCTCTTGCTGCCCCTGTAATATATTTCAACCAACTTGAATCAGACTGCTTGTCGACAACGTCGGAAAAGAAGAATGTATCTTCCTGTGGAATGAAAGGAATAACGTGTGGATTGACCTGGGAAACAATGAAGTGGTTGACATTGAACATTTCTGATAAACGTGCCATTGGTAGGTCATGATCAACTGAGCCGTCGATCCATCGATGATGGGGAGCGTCGTGCCATTCTGTTACTTCTCCAGTGATCGGATCTTTCGCCTTCAAAGATGACGACGAAAAGATGAGCGGAACGGAACATGAAGTGGCTCTGCACAAAAAAAAAAAAAAAAAAAAAAAAAAGGGTAAGTATATAAACTAAACGCGTTTCTAAACGATAAACTTACACAGCTGACCATATCAACACATTTGGAGCGGTGATATAGTTTAGTAGCTTTGGGAGCTCGTAGATGCCAGCGTTGGAGACGCCGATGTTCAAAATCCTCCTAGTCCGATTGTAGGCCTCCTGAAACGTCACATCTCCAAGCAAATCTCGAATCACTCGGGTCAGATGAACAATGTCAAAAAAGGAGCCATGTTTAATGAACCTCATCAGCCGTTGAAACACTTGCAGTCTACCATCCTGGGCACCAAACACGGAGAAATCTTCCTGTCCAATGTTCGAGAGGATCTCAGGTATTTCTTCATCTGTATATGAACACAAAACAGCGCCAACGATACTCCCCGCAGAGGAACCAGAGATAATGCGTGGCAAAAGTCGTGTCTCCCAAAGAGCCTTCACAACACCAACGTGGTGCATGCCAAAGGTAGCACCACCTGAGAGTAAAAGCGCGCTTCTACCAAACGCTTGACGAGCCGCTAGGAGCTGCTCTAGCAGATACCTCGACTCTGCGCCATCAAAATCAAACCTTCGCGACACATCTAACAACGTTGACAGAGTTTCTGCAGCCGTTGTGATATATTGATCCACCAGGTTCTTCGTTCCAATACGGGAGTGGTTGTACAGTTTCCTGTTGGTCATTCCTCCTAGATCACGGCTGAGGGAAGTACGGATAATATGGGTCATTGCCGCAGCATCACAGCTATGACGGGCCTGCTCCAGTTGCTCCAGCCTCCCCTGGACAAGCACCGAATCGTATTCATCGCACTCAAAGGTTGCTTTCCATCCATTGTTCCCGTCAAGTTCATCCAGTTCCGCTGCGTATTCTAGCCAATCGTGAAGTGTAGTAGCCTGCAATGAAACTGTAAGAGAAAGGGGCTTAGAATACAAAATGTGAGTTGAGTGGTAATGCTTACATCGCGAAGTTTCACTGAAAGGATCCTTTTCCTCTCCGTAATTCGCAACTCTTCCTCATTTGACGTGTTTGCCCTCAGATTGCAAAGTGCATTTGCTGCTTGAGCGAGAGCGCAAACGAAAGACAATAGGGAGTTGCAGGCGACTTTCCGGAGATTGGTAATGTCTGGCACCGGTTGGGATTTTGAAAATTTTTGAAACTCTGAAGATGTGGAGGTTGGCGACGACAGCTTTTCCTGATGGCAAGGGATTGAAACAAGTGCCTGTTCTCTCAGAAGGGGCATGATGAGGAGGGTTTCTCAACTTCTTGCCGCATGGAACCTAACTCCTGGACCAATGTAAATGTTTCAATCGGCACAAAGTCCTGTCCTCAAAGAAACCGTCTGTGACAGAGGAGAGGTGCATATATTAAGATGACATACATGCTTAGGTAACTAGGTAGTTAACTAGTTAAGAGTAAGAATACCTAAAACAAATGGAGCCGTCCTCTGCTGAACGGGGATATATCAATGGATGTCGTCACATCAATCGATTCAATACCAATATTTATATCCAGCTGGGCAGGGTCACGCGGAAAGCTGCAGCATGGCGATTAATCGGGGGTTGGATCAAGGCAGGTCCAACCCAGCCCGCGCTAATTTGCCATCGCTGGGGAAGCTCAAAGCTGAGGCAAAAAAGTATCTCAGGGTATCTTCTACCGGAGGCCCGGTAAAATATTAAACTAATATGCGCACATTGTACTTTCAGGTACTTCCCTATCACATGTCAGCCCCACGCTTCGTGAGGTATACCAACTCGCTCGCCACTTGCAAGGAACCAGTTCGCACACTAAGTCGCGGCTTAACTACGCAATAACTATTGAGATAAGAGGCAAGGGTAGTAGGATCATAGAACAAAAATAAAATTGCCAACAACTACATCGCTCACAACAGGTCGAAAAATATCCAAATTAGCATCCCAAACTAGGACGGAAAAGACAACCCAGATCAACCCTTACATGCCCATTCTCTCACAGCAGTTCCCATTTGGGTTTCTGTCCCACTTTCGAGCCAGAAATGCCCTGCGGTATCAATCTCCAAAGACTCAAACATTGAACCAGGTACATTCGTAAGATCCGCAAACCACTTGCGCAGCCTCTTCGCAGAGGCAAAAAAATCATTGTTGCCATACACCGCCAGTGTCCTGTGAGTTGTAAGCTGTTCCTCGGGCTGGGTCGATTTGACCCTTATTCCATTGAGAGTGACGTCGAGATTGATACGAGAACCGAACAACGACATCGTGATGAAATTTGTGATGGGTGGGAGGACGGGGGAGATCAGAAGAAACGAAACAACAGGCGTAGGCATGCTTTGTAAAATCTCGTGGGGGTCACTGGCGCTTGTTGATCGGTTTTCCACCTCTTGTCCACGTACAAAGCTGGCCCTCAATCTCCGTCGAGACCGCTCGATGTGCTGTTTAATGGCCGCAGCCGGATCTTTTTGGGGCTTCTTTCCGCTGGAATTTGCGCTACTGCCCAAGGAAACGAGTTGGGGTGGCTTGCTATAGCTAAGATCACTGCTGCTCCACGAAGTCGATGGTTGAGACGATAGTTCCGACCTCGCCCCAGTATTCCAAAGAGTGCATAGCTGCTCAGCCTGCTTCAGAATTTCAGCCCCGGCAGTGCCCTCTGCAGCTGATGCGAATAGGCTTAAAACAGTCTCTATCGACGGTAGATGACACACGATCATGGACCCATAGGAGTAGCCTGCCAAAATGAGTTGCATTCCCTCAGATTCTTTCATCGATTCCGGTGTTCCAGATGAAGAAGATCGTGTTTCCCATTCAGCCCGGGGATCCCGTAGAAAATCCGGATCAATTCCAAGAAGATAGCATATTAGAAATCCGTAGACGGAGACATAATCTCCCAATTCTGGTTTGGCTGTCCAGCTGGTTCTGCCTTCAGATTCTGCAGCACCTCTGTATATCAATATAATTAATCATCAAGTCATTCGTCATCAATACATGTATACCAACCATGCATAAAAAGGGTATTAGAACAAAATTATCTAGCTGAACTACCTGAAATTGAACGTCATCACAATGTATCCCACCTTCAAAAGCTCCCTTGCCACCCAGCAGACAATGTGGTTATCATAGTTACCTCCAATCGGTGCGTATGGATGTGCTACAATAGCGCCTTTCTTTTTCCAAGATAAGGCGCTATCAGGTCTTGAGAGATGGAGAGGGTGGTATAATCGGCAGTCAATTCGGATCCCATCAAAGACGGAGGGTATTATGAACTCGCAGAGCGGTTCGGGTGGAGGATCCATGAAGGTTGACATATTTTGCAATTTATAACAGTGGGGCTGGGTATCACCGATGAAGTCGAACGGACAACATAATGGGTTTTTTTGCGACAAAAGCTGGGCAAGATGTGGGCTTTCCAGGAGATTTACGACTGGTGTTGTTTGGCTCGGGCTTTCAGTGGCATGTTCATTAGGTTGAAAATGTTAATTTGGTGGTCAGAACTGTTACTATTTGGAATACCTCAGGCCATGAGCTCTTAACACCTTTAATAGAAACAAACAACGAAAAGGAATTTAGAGCGCTTACAACCGCAATGGAATCTTTTAAAAAATTTCGCATTTGATCTATCGATATTTATCACATGCTTCTTGAACGACTATATACCAGATTGCCGTGCTTTGGTGCCGCCTCTTAATGAAAATGGAGGCGTAAAATCAAAGGGGCAGGTATTCAGGCTAATAAACATCATAATAAATAGATACTGACTGTCAAAAACAGTTTATCCATCATCCCGTAGAATGGGATAGGATGATAAAAGAGAAAACTATTGAGAACATTTCGCTAAAACATTGTATCAAGACAGTAGCCAAGCGGGATCAGGCTCGTCATCATCCTCGGATCTGCTGGACTGCTCAGCAAAATGGGCGGCTGTGTCTTCACCCACTGTAAGCAAGCTTGGTGCACTCAACTCCTCTATCTTGCTAGAAGGTGCTGATGTATCCTCACCAGAATTTGGATCAAGATCCTTTTCTTGTTCCATACCATTTACCTTCATTGGCGATGGGAAAGTTTCGAGCAGCAGCCGTTTAGCTTCCCGAAAAGCCTCTAACTCGGCGCCAATGCAGCAAATGAGTAAATTCCAATTCTTTTGCTCCGCTAGCTGTAAGCTTGTTTCCAGTTGAATAAGTGTATCTTCTAGTTCATTCAAAACAGTTCGTCCATGCTCCTCTCTGGCCGAGTCTTGGTCTTCGGACTCCGGCAGATGCGTCTCTTGCAGCAAATTCCGCATTTCTTGTCGCAACAGTTGTTCAAAGTTGGATATCTCCGACACAACCCTTTGCCATACTCCACCACCTTCTCTCAAAGCCTCGATTTCAAAGTCGACGTTCCGCCGTTTGCTTCTCAGCTCACTCTGCTCCACAACCCACTGCTCCTTCGCCATTTCAAGGGTCCTGCGCTTCGGATTCAACGCATAGAACGGCGGTAGAGTAGCAGACGGAGGCACAAGAGGTTGTATTGGCGGGGACTGTAGATATTTTTTCATATCTGCCTGCACCAATGCCAACGAGGCTTTATACGACGATAACTTGGCATCAACTGAATTTTGAATCTGGGATACTTCATCCAGAATATGGCGATGTCGCGCTTTCATATCCTGTAGCTTCATCTCCATCTCTCGAATCTTCGATTCTAGCGTATGGGCCTCCCGCATTAGGCTCTCTGCCATTAATGGCCCCTCTTGGGTTTGAATTTCTGAGATAGCTTTCTCCAACCCTCTCTGCTTGCTCACGAGCGTATCCACTTCCTTCACTGCTGACCGCCTATCCCTCAGCTCGGAGTCAATAAGTCGCCGCTCCTCCTCTTTCACGCTTAGTAACATATGAATGATTTTAAGGATCCCACGTCGTGCACCGCGGAGGCCAATTTTCTTTTTCGTTGGCTGTCTTACGGGAATGGTGACGGTATTGCTGCGCAGGCTACCGAACCGTGAAGGTGGTGAAGGTGTAGGGGTTAAACTGCCGTTTGACGTGCTTTCATCTCTTGTCGAGCCGGAGAGACCAGCAGCTAATCCCACACTTTGAGCATCGAGGAGAGTTTGGAGATCACGCTGTAGCTGTCTTGACTGGCGTTCTATATGAAGGAAGGAATCATAACAATGAATGGAGACATCGGGAGGAACAGGAACAACCCGTGGTTGGCTGCTATTGTATGGCAGGAGTGTCGACATTTCAAAGACCGTAGCTCTTAGAAGAACCCACAAAACCGGAATAGAGATAAGTTGTTACTTCGGCATTAATACAGCAGCACAGATTGCAGGATAACTATAAGGAAGGGTTATATACAAAATAGTATGGGGGGAGGTCAAAGGAATCGCTTCAAAAGGATGCTATCGCGTTCTCCTTTTGTAGCTACTCACCATGCTCCTCTTTGTCCGCATGACATGCAAAGTGACAGCATGGACAGGAAGATGAGAGTAAACAATGCGGGAGTGTGTTGAGTCAAGTTGAACAGCCGTGACTTCTGGCTCGTGATGTCCCGGAACTCCAGCCGTTCGTAAGAGCAACACGGCCTCCTATTGGCTACCCTGGAGTCAATGATCCACGTGACTCACGTGACTTTGCCGACAGGAACCACGATTAAGGCCTGGATTGGTCGGCTTCTGCCAAAATATGCCAGGCGTCAACGACTGACTGGAGAGCTATCTACAACATCTCAGCGGCATACACCTCTCCAACCATCAACCAGCCACTTTTCTCTTGCTCAGCCTGTTTTGGTACTGGACGTGCACTTCCCTTCTTTGCTTGTATTTTATCTTTAGTTGACTTCATTCCCTTGCTCTTGCGGTTGAATGTCAGGCTCTCGCCCTAGGCGCCGTTCTGGTCATCGAAGTTAATCCACATCCCATCCGTCAACATCCATTACTCTTTGAGGTAAATTCTTTCGACAGATCAAATCTGAACGTGAATATGGTTGGCCTCGTTTCCGCAGCCGGCTTGGTTGGCTTCCTCTCCGAACCCGATCCTGAACTGAAGGTCTTCGCCCTCAAGGCCCTGGATGCGCAAGTCGACTTGCTGTGGACGGAAATTGCCGATTCTATTGACAAAATGTGAGTTGAACCTTTTAGCTTTTTATATACTCCTTGTATAAATGTGATTTCGAGAACCTTCTGGATAATTATGGATGAATGCTAACTGGAGATGAATTTCAAAAGAGAGGCGCTCTACGAGGATGAATCGTTCCAGGAACGTGAGCTGGCTGCTCTGGTTGCTGCCAAGGTATACTACCATCTTCAAGAATATAATGAGAGCATGGTATTTGCGCTGGGAGCAGGGAAACTATTAAATTTGGATAATGGTGGCGAGTTCGAAGAAACGATTATATGTAGGTGACGCCAAATTCACGCCATAAATCACGTCTACTTGTATTGTTTTTTTCGTGGCTAACGGCACTCGCGTAGCGAAATGCGTCGATACATTTATATCGATATCTGCTAGTCCGAAGTCATCGAATGCTGCGAAGGTTTCCAAGAGCGTCCCGCGCCCAAATAATTCATTTTCTCCGTCTGCAAATGGGGCAACCAGCACTTCCGCAGGTCTTACGTCGCCCATCACTCCGTTCTCTCAATCTGCCTTGCCATCGAAATCCCTGCTCTCGCGACAGGACTCAACGCCGTTGGAGGCTGGTGGTGAGGACGCTGGTGCGGATGCCGGCGAGGTCCCCCTTGTGATTCAGCGAGGTGTTCAGAAGCAGCTTCAGGCCGTAATTGAAAGGCTATTTGAGCAGTGTTTCCAGCAGAAACGCTATCGCCAAGTCGTGGGCATAGCCGTTGAAGCAAAGAATCTCGACGTACTTCGAAAGGTTATTCTTTGCGCGAGTGAAGACGAAAAGCAGCAGCAGGAGGAATCCTCACGAAGTAGTGAAGAGCTTATGGAATATGTTTTGGATATCTGTATGAGCGTTGTACAGGAAAGGGCTTTCCGAAATGAGGTACATTTAAGCCCAATATAGTCGGAAGACATTTCACTAATATCCTTTGCTTTTACTACATGCAGATCCTGAAATTGATCCTTGAGCTTTTGAATGAAATACCTTCACCGGACTATTTTTCTATCGCGAAATGTGTTGTCTACCTTAATGAGCACTCAATGGCTTCGGATATTCTACGCCAACTAGTCGAAAAAGGAGATCCACGTTCTTTATCTGTCGCCTATCAGATTTCATTCGATTTGTACGACAACAGCACGCAGGAATTCTTGAGAAAGGTTCGACAGGAAATTAGCCAGCTGATTCCTGACCCAAGTGAGAGTGAAACCCAGAATGAGGAATATGACGCCAACGCAACTAAAGAAACGGACTCGTTACTCCAGAATCAAGAAGGCCAGTCTGAAGCCTCTAACAGCCGGAGTTTGGGCTCTGGGAGTGTGAAACACAAATTCTCTGACGAAGCGCGAACGGCCTTGAAATCTATCCGCGACATAGTCGATGGTGTCAATTCTATTCAATTATATCTGGAATTCATGTTCCGGAACAACAGAGCCGACATTGCAATACTTAACAAAATAAAGGATAGCTTGGAAGCCCGCAACTCCATATTCCATACCGCCGTGTCTCTATCCAATGCGTTCATGCACGCAGGGACTACACACGACAAATTCTTCCGTGACAACCTTGAATGGCTAGGTAAGGCTGTCAATTGGTCAAAGTTCACTGCCACGGCGGCCCTTGGCGTGATCCATCGAGGAAACCTAACCCAGGGACAGAGGCTTCTTGCGCCATATCTCCCCAAGGATAATATTGCTGGAATTGGCGGTTCCGGATCGGTTTATAGTCAAGGCGGCTCATTATACGCCTTTGGCTTGATCTATGCTAATCACGAAGGTTGGGCAGTGGACTTGATTCGAGAGCATTTCACGAAGGCAACGGAAGAAGTTATCCAGCACGGTGGCGCACTTGGTCTGGGTGTTGCTGGGATGGCAACTGGTGATGAAGGCATATACAATGACCTCAAGTCTGTCTTGGAAACCGACTCCGCTCTTAACGGAGAAGCTGTTGGTCTTGCAATGGGACTTGTTATGCTTGGGACGGGCAACATGAAAGCTTTGGAGGACATGATCCGGTATGCCCACGATACTCAACACGAAAAGATCATCCGCGGTGTTGCCTTGGGTATGGCTCTTATTATGTATGGACGACAAGAAGCTGCGGATGAATTAGTCAATGGGCTCTTGGGTGACCCTGATCCTACGTTACGTTACGGTGGTATTATGACTATTGCACTCGCATACTGCGGAACTGGTAGCAATAAAGCAGTCCGACGACTTCTACACGTCGCTGTTAGTGATGTTAGCGATGACGTGCGCAGGGCAGCCGTGATGAGTCTTGGATTTATTCTGTTCCGCAAGTACCAGAGTGTCCCCCGCATGGTTGAACTTCTTTCAGAATCCTACAACCCCCACGTCCGTTACGGCGCTGCTATGGCCCTTGGGATATCTTGTGCTGGAACCGGGCTAGATGAAGCTGTGGATCTTCTGGAGCCAATGTTGAAGGACCCGACAGACTTTGTACGGCAGGGCGCTTTGATCGCATTGGCGATGGTTTTGGTTCAGCAAAACGAGACCATGAATCCGAAGGTTGGCGCCATTCGCAAGGCAATGCAGAAGGTAGTCGGGGATAGGCACGAGGATGCTATGGCCAAATTTGGAGGTGCACTTGCATTAGGAATTGTTGATGCGGGAGGGCGGAACTGTACCATCAGCCTCCAGACACAAACTGGCAACCTCAATATGCCTGGAATTGTTGGAACTGCAGTTTTTACGCAATACTGGTATTGGTTCCCGCTTTCACACTTCCTTTCTTTGAGTTTCACTCCTACTGCTGTCATCGGAGTCGACCAGAAGCTGGAGGTTCCCGTATTCAGGTTCCACAGCAATACACGACCAAGCCTTTTCGACTACCCACCCGAAATTCAGGTTAAAGCAGACGAAGCGCCGGAGAAGGTAAAAACTGCTGTACTTTCAACCACGGCCCAGGCCAAGCGGCGTGCGCAGAGGAGAGAAAAGCTGCAGCGTCGGGAGAGTATGGATATCGACCAAACTCCTACCACCCCCAAGGTGTCGACGCAGCATGTCGATAAGATGGACGTGGATGAGAACGTTGTGAAAACGGAAGAAGATGGGAAGGAAGGTGAGAAGGACGGGCCCCAAACAGAGGCACCGAAACGCAAGATGGAGAAAGAAAAAGTTGGCTATGAGCTGCAAAATATGTCTCGGGTACTTCCAGCACAGCTGAAATACCTCACTTTCCCCGACCCGAGATATGAACCCGTCAAGCGCGTAAGTAGTCCCTTATCTAATACCTTATTTTTACTTATTCAAACGTCTCGTGGCTTTAACATACTAAGATACATTCTTCCCAATACAAAGCCTACCGGAGGAGTCGTCGTTGTCCTGGACAAAAACCCGTCGGAACCGCGTGAGATCATCGAGCTACGGGCGAGTAGGGAGATGAAGCAGCCCGCGGGCGGGGAGACGATCCAAGACCGAATCAACGCTGCCATGAGCGCGTTGGAGTGGCCTACGGATGCTGCAGTTGCGGGTGCAACTGGGGGAGGGGGAGCGGCAGCGGCAGCTGGTGTGCTAACTGCAGTTGATGAGGATGAAGAGGGAGCGGAAGAAGCACCGGTTCCCAATGAGTTCGATTACTATTCTGATAATGCGGATGAATAAAAATGTTGTTCGTTGAGGAAATTGCAGGACTGGGGGGATTTTGGCGGTGAAATACTCCACAACCCCCGCATGTTCTAGCATCTCCACCGCATATTCACTGAACCCCCGCCTTTTTTGTGGGAGTGGGCTTTCCTTTCTCTTCTTTTACGTAGAGGGAGGGGCTCGCCTGGTTAACCTCTCCGGTTCGCATATCACATGTATTTCTACACGAGTTTTAGAATCGCTCTACACACGTTTTGTTCTTGTGTTCTTTCTCCTCTATTGACCTTTTTATAGACACATTAGTTCTGGTTTGGTCCTTCAATGTTGAGCTTCATTATTCTCCCACGAAACAGGCATTTACAATCTGATTCTTTCGGGGAGTTTGTAGCCGACAACAACCCGAACATCCCATCCCCCCAATAGTAAATGCCCCATTCAGACCTCATCCCTGACCTAACCAACCACTCTGCCTTGGTAATAGTCTCCGTCGGTAGCTCCCAGTCCCCGGCTCCTGGTTCTTCTTCCGGCCAAGGTTTCACAGGGAAGGTGGATTGAGTCACGTGATATAGCCACTCGCGCTAAACCTAGTTTCAACGTCCATGGAGCCTCGGCATTTACCGCATCAGGAATAGTGCCTTGGCTTTTGCCGCCCGAGCTGGCGATACACGTCACGGGACGCGATCATCACCTTCCTGGCCAATAGGAGCGTGCGTAACTTACCAATGCTTAATAGCACCGTGGGAACGATCTGTGCAGAGGTTGAAGATAGAAGCGGTCATACATGCCTGGAAAAGAGCATGCGACGTAGGGCAGTTGGCATAAGGCACCTGGCAGGGAGATGGAGCCAACGAGCGGGAGTCATTTACGTCCTAGGGAGACGCTTGTATAGGATAACTTACTCATCTGCGTATTTTGCCTGGCGAGACATCTGGTAGCTCTGACATGTGAAACTGGGACCATGTGCTATGCTTGTGCCAGCAGTTGGCTGGGGAGGCTGTGAGCGAAGAGATGAAGAAGAGATCGAAGCAAAGAGAGAAAGGAGCCACCCGGCAGCACAGCAAGCATCGTGTCAGCTGTGTTAATTGTCATTGTGGGGCGGGTGTTTTTTTTTTTTTTTTTTTTATTTATTTTATTTTATTTTTTTTTTTTATTTTTTTGTTATGTTCGAATGCCAAATTAAAACGCATGCCGTCTCATGTAGTTACCCTAAATACGTAATTGTAAGTATGAGGGATGTTGTGAGGGCAAAATTCGCCGGGTTCCGTCGCCCCCAGTTTCCTTCACATATCTATGTCCTTCTGCCAACTATCTCCCGCTTCGTTAGATTTTCTGAATTTCGATTATCGTATTCTATTCTGTCTATTCTTTTAATTCAACCTTTTATCACTGTGTATTATTATTGTCCTCGATCTTGTTGGTGGCTAGCCTATTGAGCGCCGAAAAACATGTCTGGAATCTTCTCAAAAGACGCCGTTGCGTCTCACAACAAGTCGGACAGCCTCTGGGTTGTCATTGACGAGGATGTCTACGATCTCACCAAATTCCAGGACGAGCATCCTGGCGGTAAAAAGAGTATGCAGCATTTTTGCCCTTATTTCTTGGGATCTTTTGTCGCTCTGCTCTCTTTCTCGTTACAAAGAAAATAGCTAACTTTATTTGTTGTCACTTCAGTCCTGCAGCGAGTTGCTGGAAAAGATGCCTCGAAACAGTTCTGGAAATACCACAATGCAGGTGTCTTGAAGAAATACAGCGCACAGCTCAAGGTTGGATCATTAGATTCGAAGAAAGTTGCTGCTGCACCACAGCCTCCTCCGTCGCCCCTCGCCACTCCTCCAACGGTGGCTTCTCCCGCATCGGAAAATACAGTCGCATCCAGAACCACTGCGCCTTCTCATGCTTTAGACCCTTACGGTGATTTGGTGCCATTTGCGGATCCAGCATGGTATCAAGGGGTACGTCCTCTGTTGTTTTGATTTCTCCTCTCTTTCCGTGTCGTTACAACGGAAAAATCCAACAATCGTAATGCAGAAACTCGGCTAACACGAGGGTTTTCCCTGTTTCTCTTCCACAGTACCACTCCGTATACTACAACGAGACTCACGCAGCTCTCCGCGACGAGGTTCGCAAATGGGTAGAGTCCGAGATCGAGCCGTATGTTCAGGAATGGGACGAAGCTAAGGCTATTCCCGAAGACCTATACAAGCAGATGGGTGAGCGAGGATACCTTGCGGGACTGATGGGTGTGGCATATAACCCAGCCCTTTCCAAGAACAAAGTCAAGTCCGTCCCGCCCGAGAAGTGGGATTTTTTCCACGAATTCATTGTCACCGATGAGCTCTCGCGGGCCGCTAGCGGTGGTCTCGTATGGAATCTCATTGGTGGGTTTGGTATCGGATGTCCTCCTGTCATGAAGTACGGAAAGAAGGAGCTAATTGACCGCATTGTCCCGGGTATATTGGCTGGTGAGAAACGTATCTGTCTCGCCATTACCGAGCCAGATGCTGGAAGCGATGTCTCCAATATCACCTGTGAAGCTAAGTTGACTCCTGATGGGAAGCACTATATTGTCAACGGTGAGAAGAAGTGGATTACCAATGGTATTTGGTCCGAGTATTTCACCACGGCGGTACGGACTGGCGAAGCTGGCATGAATGGTATCAGCGTTTTGCTCATCGAGCGGTCGGCTGGAGGTGTTAAGACCCGCAAGATGGATTGTCAAGGTATGTCGACGAGCGGCACCACTTATGTCACTTTCGAGGACGTCAAAGTGCCCGTTGAAAACTTGATTGGCAAGGAGAACCAGGGCTTCAAGGGTATGTAACTCAAATTTTGCCTGTATTGTAAAACCTCTTCTGAACCCAGTTCTAACTTGGCATGCCCTTACCAGTTATCATGATGAACTTCAACCACGAACGCATTGGCATAATAATCCAATGCGTCCGCTTTTCCCGCGTCTGCTACGAGGAATCCGTCAAATACGCCCACAAGCGTCGCACCTTCGGCAAGCGCCTCATCGACCACCCAGTCATTCGCATGAAGCTCGCACATATGGCGCGCCAAATTGAGGCATCGCACAACTGGCTTGAGAATATCATCTACCAATGCCAGTCCATGGACGATACTGAAGCCGCGTTCCGTCTAGGCGGTGCCATTGCGGGCCTCAAAGCGCAGTCTACAACGACGTTTGAATTCTGTGCGCGTGAGGCGAGTCAGATTTTTGGTGGCTTAAGTTATACACGCGGCGGCCAGGGAGGAAAGATCGAGCGGCTCTATCGGGATGTGCGTGCCTATGCGATTCCGGGCGGGAGTGAGGAGATTATGTTGGATCTCAGCATGAGGCAGAGTTTGAAGGTGCATCAATTCTTTGGGATGAAGCTGTAGATTAAAGGTCTGCATTTGCATTTGCATTTTTGTTGCTTTCTCTATCCATGCCATCTCCATTTCATTTCACGTACACACCTTTCCAGATATATATTACATATATTTTCTTTGGAGATACAAGTAGACATGCCATGATTATGTTGCTGTTTTTCGGGGTACATCTTCGAATTTGTTTAGTGAAATACCCCTTCTTGTCCTCTGTCGTTCCCTTGTATATTAGATATTCACTTCTGATATTCATTCCTGGCCTTTAGGATAATATTTTCTTATCTTGACGGGGTGCTTTCGTCCTTTGAATGAGGAGCTTCTCCTCGTCCCTTGAATGGAAATGTATTAGCGTATGTTTGATTGTTGTTGTATTCAACTTCCTGTATCTTTTGGATGAATATTAATAACAGTGGAATAGTTTGATGTATGTTCAAGAATTTAAATAATGTATGCTAAGATTTCAACTTTTCACCAACTTGAAGATATGTTGAAAAGCATTCAAGTCACGTGATAAATTCACGCTAACTAACCCGTTGGGGGATACGGCTGTCTACTGACACCCAAGGCGTATGCTGCATTTATTTGAGCGTCCAAAGAATCTCTCGACTTCTGCTCAGCTTGTTCATGTCTAGTTTACCACAACCCATTCACACGAGCCATCTGTGAAGAAGTGCGCAAACTAGCCCTCGATTTTGGCACCCATTCAAAGCCATCGAAACCACCTGACCAATTCTCGCGCGCAACGCAACCTTGGAAGAGATAACACAGTGTGTGACTTTTGCGTCTTGGGTCATTGCAGCAGTCAGCTTCAAAGCCAGATTGAGCTTCCGGGGCGAAATCTCTTTGAGAGACGAAAGATACAGGTTTTGAAAGACGGGACGGGGTAACCGCAACTACTGGCTACTCCTTTATGTTTGACCATCCTTCCTAAACGATACGGGCTTGGGTTATCGACTTTCATCCTACCTCGTTTGACAATCTCGCAGCAGTTCCATCTATCTTCCTCTACTTAACTCCTAGCACTCAACCTCTTGAAACAGAGACATATACTCACGTGTGTCATCATTGCTTCCAGTTTGCTATCACACCCTCTGACGAAGAAAGAAGTCTTGAGTTATCAAAGAATTTATCCGCGCCACACGCATCTACACAATGTCGAATACCGCCAGTGAGTTTCTGAACCAGGACTTCGGGTCGGAGGAGGAAGATGATGACTTTAATCCTGCCCCCGTCAATGATTCCGATGATGAGAAGCCGAAAAAACGGGAGGCGACTACGTACGATGACATTGCGGGAAATGATACGAGTGGTATAGGTGCAACCGGTGATGAGGAAGATGAGGAAGACAAGCATCCGCGGCGGAAAGAGAAGGTCAGGGATAGTGATAATGGAGAAGAGGAGGACTATGGGGATGGCGGAGGTGGGGGTGATGGTGACGAAGAAGAGGAAGAGGAAGAAGACGAAGAGGATGATGATGAAGATGAGGAGGCCGTTTCGGTAAGTCGGATTATCGCTCTGGTCTTACCTTCGGAGTGTGATGTAAAAGGTAACTGCGGTATTGGATATGGTTTCTGATGCTACTCAATCTAGGGTCGGCCGCGGAAGCGCAGACGGGGTGGGATCAATAACTTCTTCGAGATGGAGGCCGAAGTCGATGAGGAAGATGATGCTGAGGAAGATGAAGAGGAGCTGGCCGATGGATTCGTTGCGGAGACTCACCCTGATGACCTTGACGCTTTGCCCCGTGGGCGCAGAGACTGATGACCGGAGACATCGCGAACTTGATAGGAAGAGGGACCTGGAAGCCACGATGGATGCTGAGAAACAGGCACAGGCGCTCAAGGAACGATATGGCCGAAACCGAGCTGCTGCGGCGGATCTGGTCGTTGTTCCCAAGAGACTGCTACTCCCTAGCGTTGACGACCCGAGTATATGGGCAGTCAAATGTCGTCCTGGAAAGGAAAGAGAAGTTGTTTTCAACATTATGAAGAGAATCGAGGATAGGCCACCGGACTCTAGGAGACCGATTCGGATCATGTCTGCGTTTGAGCGGGGAGGTACTATGAGTGGATACATCTATGTGGAAGCTCGGAGGCAGGCTGATGTCATTGATGCCTTGGACGACATGTCGAACGTATACACCAAGTCAAAAATGATTTTGATCTCCGTCAAGGAAATGCCTGATCTTCTCAGAGTTACTAAGTCAGAAGAATTGGTCCCCGGTGGTTGGGTCCGTATCAAGCGTGGCAAGTACCAGGGCGACTTGGCGCAACTTGAAGATGTCGAGACGAACGGGCTGGACGTCACTGTTAGGCTTGTTCCTCGCCTGGACTACGGCTTAAACGAGGATATGAGTGCCCCCAACGGGGATGCGAAACGGAAGAGACCAGGTGTTAACAATGCTATTGCTCGTCCGCCCCAGCGGCCGTTTAGTGAAACTGAGGCTAAGAAAAAGCATGCTAAGTATCTAAGCGCTACATCTGGACTTGGCGGGAAGACTTGGAATTATCTTGGAGATAATTACGTTGACGGATTCCTCATTAAAGATATGAAAGTTCAACATCTTATTACGAAAAATGTCAACCCGCAGCTAGACGAGGTCACCAAATTTGCTCGTGGCGCTGATGATGGCACTGCGAATCTTGACCTTGCTGCACTGGCGGCCAGTCTTAAAGATACCACGAGTGAAGATTCCTATTTGCCTGGAGATACCGTTGAGGTTTTCCAAGGCGAACAACAAGGGGTAGTTGGTAGAACAGTTTCTACTCGTGGGGATATCGTTTCCATTAAGGTCACAGAAGGTGAACTTGAAGGACAACAAATCGATGTACCTATCAAGGGGTTGAGAAAGCGTTTCAAAGAAGGTGATCACGTTAAGGTCATTGGTGGCAGTCGATTCCGCGATGAGCTGGGCATGGTGGTTCGCATCAAGGATGATCGTGTCACCTTGTTGAGCGACATGAATATGCAGGAAATTACAGTGTTCAGCAAAGATATTCGAGAAGCTGCAGATGCTGGTGTTGACGGGAAGCTTGGAATGTATGATGTTCATGATCTTGTGCAGCTAGAGTAAGTTCTTCCTTTTCCCAATAATCCTCCTTGATTTGTGATGACCCCTAGAGAACACCTGGTTATTAATAATTATTGTAGCCAAGCTACCGTAGGTTGTATCATCAAGCTTGACCGGGAGTCTATGCGTGTCCTTGATCAAAACGGATCTATCCGAAACGTGCTGCCATCGCAAGTCATGAATAAAATTAATCAACGTCGCAACGCCGTCTCAACTGATCGAAACGGCTCAGAAATCAGATGCGGCGACACAGTCCGTGAAATTACCGGAGAACAACGAACAGGAGTTATACTACACATCCACCGGTCATTCCTATTTCTGAATAATCGAGATGCAATTGACAACGCAGGCATTATCGTTACGCGTGCCTCGAATGTTAACACAATAGCGACGAGTGGTGGAAGATTAGGTAGCCGATCGGCTCCTGATTTCTCCAGAATGAACCCGGCTCTACAGAAAAATGGAATGAATGGCAATGGAATGCCTCCCCCCAAGTCATTTGTTAGCGATCGAGCTATTGGCAAGACCGTGACTATTCGGAGGGGTCCATTCAAGGGACTCCTAGGCATTGTTAAGGATACGACTGAAACCCAGGCGCGGGTAGAGCTGCATTCAAAGAATAAGGTCGTTACGGTTGACAAGGATATGCTCTCCATGAAAGAGTACGTCAACATCCACGTTCCTTCTATGCTGGATTTTGTTTAATACTGACTATTTAACGTAGTCCAATCACGGGTGCTTCGATTGATATATCTCGATTTGGTGGCAGAGGCGGTGGCGGAGCCGGACGAGGTCGCAGCGCCTACAATGCCTCTGCTGCCCCTCCTGACTGGGCAGGAAGTCGGACACCCATGGCTGCAAACGACTCCTCGCGCACTCCTGCGTGGCGCTCTTCATCGTCACGAAGTAAGTTTTCATCGTTCCCGCCTCATATTAACTATGAAATAAACCTCTGCAGTTATTGACAAATCCCATAGCACCGGCTTGGAATGCAGCAGCAGCAAGTAGCTCTCGCACCCCGGCATGGAAAGCAGATGGCTCCCGAACCTCAAATCCCTACGACGGCAACCGAACCGCATATGGCGGTGGGGCGTTTAGTGGAAGCCGTACTCCAGCCTGGACCGCCGGCACCAAGACACCGTATGACTCCAGCTCTGGCTTTGGTGTCTCCTCAAACTCCGGCTTCGATGCTTTTGCGGCGGGCTCTCGAACACCAGCGTATCCCGGTGGCACAGGTTCGCGTACCCCCGCCTGGGGTCCTGGATCGGCAGCCCCCCCACCCGTTGGGCAGAGCGGAGGAAGCAAAAGCAGTTACGATGCACCTACCCCTGGCGGTGACTACACTGCGCCCACACCTGGCCCTTACGGCGCCGCTCTTACACCTGGTGCCACTGCTGCGACACCACGAGCCTGGGCTGACAGCGCCCCCACCCCTGGGGCCATGCATGCCCCAACGCCAGATGTTTTGGGATATTCTGGCAAGAGATCCGGGGAGCCGTACGATGCTCCAACGCCTGCCGGTATGTCTATGAGCGGTGGGAGGCCGTATGATGCTCCTACTCCCGCAACTGGCATGGGTATTCCGGCGACGCCTGGTGCGGGTGATGATGGGGACCCTAGGTATGAAGAGGGGACGCCAAGTCCATGATTATCTCCACGTGATGGACACTTGTTAAAGATTTAATTTTAAAGTTTTTCTTTTTTATTATGGGTGAGTGTGAGACCAGTTGGGTTTTGAATCCTTTTCCTCCGTTTATAAGACATAAAGGTAGTGTATGTTTTCCCCAAACTTCTCTCTGTTTCTTCTTGACTACATAGCATGGAGCCAGGGTATTAGCATCTTCTCGTCTCTTCTTCAGCACTTTTTTCTGACGTTTTACCTTACCCAGTTTATTTTCGCTTTTGTCTGTAGGCAGAGAATGGCAGCCAATGTTTAAACCGTAACAACATTCGAACTGTTGGTTTTGCTTAAGTTTTCCAAAACAAAGGCAACAAAATGAAGCAACAAAAATTGGCCCAAGTTTAAGTCTTATGAATTCATTTATAGGTTGTTTAACTACTTCTCATCTCTTTTGATGAGCACTCCGTAGAATGGATGAAATTGGTGGGATGAGCTTTTATTTAAGCAGCGTTGTTTGCTCTGTTTGCCTCGATAGTAAAGCTTCGGTGTGTGTTAGTTTGCCCCACTCAAGTTAAACCAAAGCTCGACAAGGATCGAACTCCGTCGAAAGTGCATCGAATACCAGAAATTCTGCGGAAACAACTGTTGAAGAAGACACTGTATGCATAGAACTGACATGCGCTAATACTCTCATTGCCCCTCTTTTCCTCCTTTCCACCTTTCCACCTTTATTGGTTGAATGAATCCCTGTTGACTGCCTCACCTAGCGGCATCGAATCCCTGCCCGGACTATATATATGCACGCTTACTTCCATCTATAACCAACCAATCGTCCAAAGCCTCCCAAAGCAACACAGACCGAGACGGGAAAAAAGCTCCATTATAGCCGAAATTAAAACTGAAAGCAAATTGGAAAGAATGTCAAATACCGAAACAGGTCCTGGGAAAGAAGCAATCGCGGAACGTGAGCGCCAGGATCGTGAACACAGGGAAAAGGAGGCAGCGGAGCAAGCCACGCTGCCGTATAAGTGGACGCAGACCATTAAAGATGCAGATGTGACCATTCCCGTGGATGCCAATATCAAAGCAAAGGATTTACGGGTTGAGTTAACCAAGGCAAAGATCTTCGTGGGGATCAAGGGCGGGGAGACTTTTATTGATGTATGCAATCCTTGGATTTCAGCTATATTGATATTGGATCTATGGAACAAGATACCAAAACCCATGACGTTTCTTTCTAACTTTTCCCTCTCCTTAAGGGTGCATTCCCACAACCCATCCACGTCGACGAGTCAACCTGGACCCTCGAAACCACATCCAAACCTCCCGGGAAAGAGATATCTATACATCTCGATAAAGTCAACAAGATGGAGTGGTGGCCGCACATCGTCACGTCAGCACCACCCATCGATGTGTCGAAGATCACGCCTGAGAATTCAAAACTGGGTGACTTAGATGGAGCGACGAGGAGTATGGTGGAGAAGATGATGTATGATCAGCGGCAGAAAGAGTTGGGTTTGCCAACGAGCGATGAGGAGAAGAAAATGGACCTATTGAAGAAGTTTCAGCAGCAGCACCCTGGTGAGTTTGCCTTTGCTGTTTCTCTCTACTTCTTATTTCTTTGGGGAGGTCATAGGTTTGCTAATGGTCTTTCTTCTTGCGGTGCAGAAATGGACTTTTCCAAGGCAAAGATTGGCTGAAATGTCACTCTCTCATCGAATGGTAGAAATTTGCGTGGTGGATTTGAAGGAAGGGAAATGAAAAGAAATCATTGTGTCGAATTTCCTGGGTAGGTGGAAAAGTTGGGTAAGAAGCTGTAAACGAATACGAACGAAAATATAACTATCATGACGTATTGTTTTACCGCAAAGGTGGGTTGCTGTGAGGTATTAAAAATATAACCATGAAATGATTTTTGTATAAATTGATTGAAATCCTATAAAGATTGTGTTACACAAGAAACACACGGAATACCAAGGGAGATGGATCCTCGGGACCACTTGATAACTAGCGTATATGTACCGATAGCTCGCAGGCAAATGCGGTTCTCATGCTTGCAATGGTAGAGGGAAGTAGTTTATAATACACAAGGTTGGTATCTAATCCAGTAATGCAAGTATTTTGGTGGAAGCGTAGAACAGACGAAATGATAGTCAAAAACATATATCCAATAGCTGATCAAGGCTTAGATCTAGCAACAAGAGAAGGAAAGGGGATTGCAGAAAAATCATCCAATTTTTCCCAGCAGAATGCTGCCACTCACGAAACGATCTACTCCCCCTTGCCTCTTAGTGATAAATGATAAGTCCGCAGGGAGTCTTCCGTCATTTCACTGGGACATTTCACCAACAAATCCTCTCCCTTCCCAGACTTCGGAAAAGCGATGACGTCCCTTACACTCTCTCTACCCAACATGACCGCTACCAGCCTGTCAAACCCCAGCGCAATGCCAGCATGCGGCGGACACCCGGCCCTTAGTGCTTCAAGCAAGTGCGCAAAGTCAGCAAGCCTCTCAGCTGGCATTTTGAGAATATCGCGCAGAATAAAATCCTGGACGGCTGCTGAATGGATACGTCGACTCCCACCGCCCAGTTCAACCCCGTTCAGGACCAGATCGTAGTGATCCGCGACAGCCTTTGTCGGATCCGTCAGAAGAAGGGAGATATCTGATTCGTGAAGTGGAGCTGTAAACGGGTGGTGCGTGGATGTGATTCCTGCCGCACCTCCTTGGCCTGGCTCGGAGTCGCTGACGGGGGAGAAGAGGGGGAAACCTGCGACCCAGAGGAAGTGGAAGCCCGTAGGAGCGGGTGTGAAGTTGGCTTCCACGGCTGCTCTATGGATTTCTCGACGGAGGTTACCCAGCGGAGTCGAGCTTCCAGAGAACGGAGCGTTATTGCGCGCCTGTATTAGTAGCAGATCTCCATCTTTCAAGTTCAGTTCTTGCTCCAGAACCCATGTTGCCTCGAATCCAAAAGGTTGGAGTCCTGAGAGGGGTTTTCTGGAGTCGTAAACGAAGGCGCCAGGCCCACCTTCAGGGTTGTTGTGAAACCAACTTGAGGTCGGGGAGTCCATGAATGAGGAGAGGAACTTGCGCATTTCATCTGAATCTCCATTTCCTTCCAGTTTCATGGCTTCGACAATGGGGTTGTTTAATGGGCTTATTTTACTGACGAGGTCAACGGGAATCATGTGCTCTATTCGCTTGATCTCCATACCAATTCGCACGTCTGGCTTGTCTGATCCGTATTTGGCCATGGCATTCTCATACGTGGTCCTAGGGAAGCTTTCAGGGGTGAGCGGTGCCGGCATCAGTGTAGACCATAGCCTCTTCATAGCAGCTTCAATTATTTTCATTACATCTTCCCCAGTTGCAAATGACATTTCCAAATCGAGCTATTAACATTTGTTAGTAGCGCGACAGATTTATCCGAAGCTGCCGAAGGCCAAGGTTGCGTACTTGTGTAAATTCCGGCTGTCTATCCGCTCTTAAATCCTCATCTCTAAAACAACGTGCAAATTGGTAGTACCTGTGAATACCGCTAGCCATGAGTATCTGTTTGTATTGTTGCGGGCTCTGTGGGAGTGCGTATGCGAGCCCACGTCTTCTAGTGGGAACTAAAAACTCCCTTGCACCTTCAGGGGTAGATTTGAAGAGAAGAGGCGTTTCAATTTCTAGGAAGGGTGGCTGGAAGTCCTCTAATGTTTCACGTAGAACATTTCTAGCTCTCGCACGGAATTGCAGTGCGCCACGAAGATTGCTGTCTGCTCGAATCTGCAAATGTCTCTTTTCCGCCGGGAAAACTGTTTCAGAGGTCATGATAATGTCTTTAGGAAACTCATTAAGACAGTATATATCTTCGAGAGCTATCTCTATACTATCAACGTTTGAATTGTCCCGCTCTCCAGCTGCTTTTTCCTTCGAGCTAGCTTGTTTCTGTTGTACGATTCCTTGCACAACAACAGGACTGTTTGCTTCGATGGATTTCAGCTTCTCAAAGGATATATTTTTCGCAAAAGCTATGACCTGAACATTGTGTGACAAGGTCGGATCTGTTAGGCGAACAAAAGCCATCTTCTTTCCCATATCGACACGTTTTCCTAGATAGCCATGAAGCACGACATGCTTCCCCAAAACGGGTTGATCTATCAGCGATTTAATGTCGACTGTGGCGGTGGGGAATCTGACTAAACAAAGAGAATACTGAATTAATCAAATAGTCGTAAAAAAAGGGGGAGAATCTCATAGCTGAGTTTGGAGTTGTCACACTAGATTGTTTGTACTCGTTGAGATACGGGTGAGATGGAGCAGGAACAGGAGATTCTAGCTGCCGCGACAGGTGTGTGAAATGAAAACTTCGGACATGTCCAGCAACACACCCTGGGCTTCGAGGATATGCGATTCGAATTCCTCGTATATAGTTTGATATCTCAATGTAGCTATGGCGTCCTAAAGATGCCGTACAGAGGATCCGCGACGAAAGATGGGCAGGAAGCATCACGGCGAGGCACAGGCAATTGGGTGGAACATAAAGGAACGGATCTAATTGCACCCAATTTGGCCGTGCTTTGGTCGTTGAAATAAAAAAAAAAATGAGGGGTTTTATTTGTCAATATTCATTCACATATCCAACCAGGATGTGTTCCTTTCCGCCATGTTTTGTCCTCACTGATATATAGAATTCCAAGCCCGGTCGACGGTTGAGCCGAAAATGTTTGACAGGTGTGCAAACATTGGATCTGCCAAGACTTTCCACAATCATTACAAAAAAACTTCAACCATTCGTTTTCTTCTTTTTCTTATTTCCTTTCTCCATCCTTCCAAGTTTTGAACAAGTGAGTCTGCCAAACCTGAACATCCTTTGAATAGCTGAATTTGCGGCAGCCACCTACAGGTATATGAATGCTAACATGCTATATTTTTGCAGATGATGAAAGCCTAGCGTGTTCCATATGAACAATGTACTCTCCTCCCCTCTGGCCAGTATAGCTCTCCATTCCTTCCGGGATGGCTTAAGTGGCTTACTGGCTGGAGGCTGGATGGGGAGATGATATCAGCGTTCGGCACATCCTCCTTGTTACTTTGCGGACGCGATGGAAAAGGCATCTCTGATCAACATTTCTTGGAAGGGAACTTGTCCCTCTTTTTTCCCTCTTACCTTTACATTCACTCCTGGCCTATTAATCGAAAGCCCTTCTCCTTTCCCCACTTCGATACCGCGATTCTGCGCTTTGGCAATTTCTTTCAGTATTGGTCAATGAAAGTGGTCTATGCAGTGTTGCGCGATATCTCTTCCATCTCATAATTTTTATTCTCTTTTCGATTTTTTGCTACAGGAGAGGCTATTCGCTAGCATCTATGAAGTCGAGGAAATGCTTGAACATTTACATCCTTCATCCCAAAGAAATTTCTCTGCTCTAGGAGTTCACAAAAAAACAAGTGACTTTCATTTCAAACGCGATGACAGGCTGTAGAACCCTAACAGAGCCAATTTGTCGTACGTATATTATCACCATTCCAGTAAGGAGAGGAGGCAGGATTTCAGGAAATCATGGAACGAAAGTAAGAGCTGAGTGAGAACGCCTCCATTCTTTACATAGGGAAATTACTTCGTACAATTGGCAGATTTCAACAGCAGTGAGTGTAAAATCCAGGTTGGCGTCCAAGTCAGGTGACTCTGCTGCGGCATTTTGGAATTGTAACTCGTCCTTTTAGACTTACTGGCGCTGGGGCCCTTTTTGCCGGGGAGTCTAACAGTGTCTTTCTTGGTCAACCCCATTTCACATATTACACGCAATCGTCCATGGAATACCTCACTGCAGATCGCCTTTGCTACAAATGTGCCTGTGATGTGGGAATAAAAGGCCATCAATCGCCTCGATACGCATTTTACCACAAAAGGATTCGGTTGGATTTCCTTTTTTTCTCGCTGCGTAGTCAAGGCCTCAATGCATACTGGTATTACCCCCCACACACAGTCGTGCTCTCGACCGTTTAAATGGGAGATTTGATGATTATCTGCGTTTAGGAAACTGGAGACACAATGAACAGCAGATTCCTTAGGTGACAATAGGGTTATATTTCCCTTCCTCATGTGGTATTAAACATGGCAGGCTTTCCAGGCACCTGCGCAAGGACTTCAAGAAGTAAATCGTGTGATATATCTACAGTATATCCCCAACAGTTAAGTTCATGACGTCTAAAAGGTGCATGGATGAGTGCACTGCCTCATTGAAAATGCAAAGGCTAACCCGAATAGCTCCATGAGACAGCGCCATGCATTTCCTTGCCATTCACTCGATGTGGATTTTCATCCCACCGAAGCCACACCAGAATGGATGCTTCCCCGCATTTGACATGGCTCCCAGGATCGTCGAGTCAACTGCATACGAATAGTAGAAAGGACTGCAAATCCTTCTGTCAAGCGTATTCTTTCACATTCCATTGGCACCCTCTGGACTGTTTGAGGACAAGCTATGTTTTAGTATTAATATTAATATCACTTGGCATCTAGTTGCCATTCACCAATTATCAATACCTTCTCCATCTTCTTTTATTTTCTTCAATATCCTAAATTCTTCGCCTTCGCTTCGAGACTAATTATGTCGGACTCTGCGGATGCCAGAGCTCTTAAGCTCCGTAATCTTCACGTTCCTGGCAACCCACTTGTCCTTGCAAACATCTACGACCCTACCACAGCAGAGTTTGTTGCTTCACACTCTTCATCTACGGCCCTTGCAACTACGAGTTATTCCATAGCGAAGGTGCATGGCTTTGAAGACGATTTCCTAGATCTGGACACGAATCTGAACGCCATAAGGCGAATTGCTCCCATTGCACTAAACTACAACAAACCCTTAACTGTTGACATGCAAGATGGGTACGGAGTGTGTCTAGAGGAGGCGATTCATGCCATCATCGAGGACGGCGTTTCCGGTTGTAATCTTGCGGACCGCAGCAACAAGACAGGCGAGCTAATGCCATTTGAAATGGCTGTCGATCGAGTGCGTCGTGTGACTGTTGCTGCTGCGAAAGCCGGCGTTCCCAATTTCGTTCTGAATGCGCGGACTGATGCTATTGTTATTAACAACGATGTGGACGAGGCAATTCGACGGGGTAAGGCGTTCTTGGAAGCTGGTGCCACCACAGCCTTCGTCTGGGGAGGGGCAAAGCGTGGTGGATTGACTAGAGATGAGGTAGTCAGGATTTCAAATCAGCTGGGTGGGCGCCTTAATGTTATCGCTTTGCAACATGGGTTAAGTGTACAGGAGTTGGCAGACATTGGCGTAGCGAGAATCAGTGTAGAGTCACGGCTGTGGATCTCCGCGTATGCCGCGTTTCTGGAGGCTGCTAAGGGCTTGCTTGGAGAATATGAGGAAATGAAGGCGTCGAGGAAGTAGGAGTATCAAGTGGCCTTATGGTTAATTTTTTGGGTAATCGTTTTCATCTTAAGAAGCGTATCGCATGTGTTTACCATGGATTATTATTCGAGATGTTTGAATCGTAAAGTATTACATTATCCTCTTCTCCGACGTCATGATAGAATTCTCATACCATGACGTTTCTGCGCGATTGGATGTACACACGTAGGTCCACCATTATACGGGAGTACATTTTATATCAAAATATTATACCAAGATATACTTATTTACCCAAGGATTGCAAATATTGCAAAATAACGAAATAAAGGAAATAAATAAATAATAACACGCTCCGTATAATCTTATACTACGTTCCGACAACAAATGGCCATTCCGCTCCGTGCTGGGTGGGCTCCACCCAACGCCATGATTTGGCGGTTCTGGAGAACTCTGCTATATCCATGCAGGTATGGCAGACGAAGTTTTCCTCCCCTCCTCCATTGTCCATGGGTCACTCCTTACAGTAGTCTCTTGGACCACCGTTATTTCCTTTCGAGGCTCATGCCTCCCCGAGCTAAGGATGTACTCATCGCTCTCCCAGGCCGTGGTGTCAAGGAACGAGAGTGGATGCAAGGCCTTTTTGCGTGGCTCTCAAGCGGGTTTTTGTTTATTTCATGTTAAAGAATAAGACCGAGAGGACCAGCCTATAAGCTGAAGCTGGCAACCGGCAACCCTTTTGACAAATTCAATGAACTGGGATCCAGAGCAGCCCGTTCCTAGAAGAGGGACAGAGCTCGCTTGCTCTTTGTCCATAAGACAGCTTTTGCATCGCATCAATCGTGGCCGTCGTCGGACCAAAGTAACTAGAAATCGGAAGAACTAAACCCGACGTTCTTCTTGAAACTTTAAGATCTTCGGCCTGGCATTTTGTGATCGACAGTTGTTTAGCGCCATCTGGGACAATGAGTGGCGGGGTGATTTGTCTGCTCAGCGAATGCAGTTGAAAAATTGGGAGCAACCGAAGCGGACATGCCAATCCAGCGCGACTCTAATTATCATGAATTTTGCGCTGGCCTTCATTAACGTGCCCTTGGTAACTTTGCTCAAACCTGGACGATCTGCGGATTGGAATTGACGACGAACGAAGTCTCATGCAGGTAATAGAAGAGCCGGGCAGAAACCGGAGGCAACTAGGGATCAAAAATGAAGTGCTGATTGATCATTAGTATCTAGCTTCATATTTGTTTCCATTTGGCAGATAACAGGGGAAATAACGGGGGGGCTGACCTGAAGATACTGATAATCAAAGCTATATCCATATACAGTCCTAACGCATTTAATAACTTTCTTTTTGGGTGATTGGCGTCACCAACTGATATCGAATTCAATAATTCTTGGATGAACCCGAAAGGAGGTCGATGATGCATCGTGAGTTGGCTCTTTTTAACCACCAGGTCGTTATTAAATTAGTAAGTTGTTAGCCAGGAGCTGATGAATCTATCAAGATCAAAACCCGTGAGTGCAAGCAAGAGCCCCAGCGCCAACAAGACAATTCGCGCTGCGGGACTCGCGAGAACTGATGTTAAAGAAGAAAGCAGACTATAACAGACGAAAACATTTTTTTATCTGATAATCGCTAATTGTGCTCTTCGCTTCGACATTCTCACGAGGAAACGCCGATTGAATAAATGAATCCTCCATGGCACATATGACATCTGGATTTGGATGTCCCGATCGTGGACCCTTGTGACTATGTAGTTATCCAGTTTCAGCAATTAGTTAGTTGTTGGTTCTTCAGTCCCGATCTACAAGATGTAAATGCATTGCACACAAACCCCGGTATTCCCGTAAGAGCGGATCTTTGATTCGTCAGTAATCAACTACTAGTGACTCCTTATTAACAAAGCTCAGAGTTTTTTGAACACAAAGTTTCGAAGACAGCATGTCATGATGTTTACACAGCATTAACAAGAAAAGGAAAAGACGGGAGAAATCGAATTCAGGAGTGTCTTTTTTTGACTTGACTTCATCGTTTGTTGGTAGCAAGGTTAGTTACCAATACCACGCAAGGGCAAGCCAGCGGTTGAATAATACGTGAGCTAGCAGGCAGCGCCGCCGTTGCATATGGGCTTGCTGGAGCTCCTTAGGGGTCAGAAAGTCCTCCTGCTCGAAGCTGGCGACAACAAGGACAGAAATCTGCGCGTCGGTGGGAGGCAATGGTTAAACGTTCCAGAATAAGAATATGAACTGGGCCCACAAAAGCCGCGCCCCAAGAGTATTGGAACAATAGCGAGCTTGACTATTCTCTCAGACGCGGTGTTGGAGGCTCATCTGTACTAACTTCGGCATCTACACCTTTGGCGCCCGGGACGGATATGACGAGTGGACAAGGATCGTTGGCGATGATCCTTCTAACTGGAAACACATCCAGGCCTGGTTTAAGAAACCAGAGACTTTCCATGACGAGCTTCCAGCGGGAGTTGATAAGAAATATGTTGCCCCGAAAATGGGTGATCACTGTACATCGGGGCATCTTCACGTCCGGTTTGCTGACTCGCACCTACTTGCCAACTCGCCTTTTCAGTGTGTCATCTTAGAAAGAGAGAAAGTCGTAGGTGTAGAGTCCAATAACAAGTGATGCAGGAAAATCGATTCCACATTTGCCTATCTGAACTGCTTAGCCCTCAAAGTAAGTTCTTAGCAGTCACTAACCCTTGTTAGACTTGGCCACCAAAGAGATAATCCTCTCAACAGGCGGGCTGGACACGCCAAAGATTGTCATATATCCAGGTAACTATTGGCTCAAGGGAGCAGTTCATCTGTTAACTTTTTGAGTCACCCTTGATCAACAATCAAAACGAGCTCAGATCGTGAATTTGGTATACACATTATCTTTTAACAATATAATTCGCAAATTCTATAAAGAGAAAAAATGGTAAGGTTCTTGTGCCGCTGTTGAAGAGCAAAGGGATGGAGAAGTGAACAATTTTCGAAATGTACATATTTATACTGGAGAAACGTAAAGTCTGGCACTGCTCTTTCCAGAGCAACTTCTATGTCATTCATTCCCCTAGTATAATATTTTTCAAGGTCTCCCGCTCCCCGCTTTCTTCCACTAGTCCTCTAAAAACGCCATTATCAATGAACATCAGATCTTTTGGCGTCCCGAATTCTACCACCTTCCCTGCATCCATTACCAAGATACGGTCAAAATCCGCAATAGTGCTGAGCCTATGTGCAATAACAAGTAGTGTTGTTGAATTTCGTCCAAATTCAGAACGAATAGACCGTTGGATCAGCGCGTCTGTTGCCATGTCAACTGCAGATGTAGCTTCATCCAAAACCATGATTTTCGGACGCGAAATGATGGCGCGGGCGAGGCAAAGAAGCTGCCTCTGACCCTGAGAGAGATTCAGCCCACCCCCAGAAATGATAGAATGAAGGTTGGTGAATATGTTTGTATTGGATTTGAGACCAGCGGCCAAGCTGGACGTTCCGCTGATTAATGTCGGGGTAGTCGACCCCGTTCCTGTTTGAGGACGGGATGTTGAAGATGGCGAACCCAAAGAAGAGGTGGCCGTTTCATCGATACAGCTCGGAACAAGGTGTACACGCTCTAGAGCGTCATGTAGTTCAACATCGCTGAATTCTTCAAAGGGGTCAAGGTTGGACCTGATGGTCCCGGAAAACAAAACGGGATCTTGAGGTATGATGGCCAGACGGCTTCTGAGATCATGGAGCTTAATCTTAGATACGTCGATTCCGTCAACATGAATGGTCCCTTCGCGAGCCTCCAGGAAACGGAATAAGGCGAGAGTCAGAGACGACTTTCCAGCCCCTGTACGGCCGACAACGCCAACACGTTGGTTTTTATCCACCTTAAACGATAAGCCCCTGAGGACCGGTGGTAACTCGGGGGCATAGGCAACCACGAGATCGGACACTTCAAGTCGGCCTTCAGTGGGCCAAGCAGCAGGGACATCTAAACCATCTTGAGGCTCGATATCAATATTAGAGTATTCAATTACTCTCTCCGTAGCGTTCATATCCAGTTCTATATTGGTATATTCACGCAACGCATACGAAATTGCGTCGGTGTATTGCATAGCAAAACTGAGAGCAAAGCCAGCTAAAGAGGCATCGATACCTGCGATGGATATGACAAGTGCAGCAGTGATGACGGCAAAAATTGCCCCGACAGTATACATACGGACACCAAGCCATCTGTTAAAAAGCCACAAGTGCCAATATGCCTGTGCATGACGATCAATCTTCTTAAACATTCGGTCAATGTACGTTGGGGCTTTCCCAAATGCGCGGATAGTTGTTAACCCAGTCAGAGCGGTCTCAAATTGTTCGTATACAGGACTTTTTACAGTACTCTCCAAACGCTTGATCTCTCGAGCACCAGTGAGGTAGTAAAGAGAATAGTACATGGAGATCCCAAGGAGCGCAGAAGCAAACAAGATAAGAATGGGAGAGACAAGGAATCCAGCAGCGATAATACCGACGACCTGGAGGACGTTGTAGAAAGCAGAACCGAAGTGATAACTTAGCCGAGAATCAATCATGTTGAAATCAGCCGTGAACCGGTTTAGGATTCGCCCAACAGGTACCGTATCAAGCCAACGAAGTGGGGCTCTTAGCACAGCATATGTTAGCTGATCGAAAAGGTTTCGAGATGCGTGAACGGAGGCATGCAACAAGAAAGCGTATCTCAGAGGTCCTATGACACACGTTACAAGGGACATTGCAATATATATCCCCAAATAATACCAAATATTAGAACTTTGAGGAGCTGGATGACCCTTATTTACAATGTGCGCCATTATGGAGAAATTCTCTTCTGCGGTCGCATTGCTTGATGATCTAGTCCATATACTTACCCACCATGACTGCAAATGAATTAGTAAAGACAATTAAAATGAGTAAAGTGATCATATGCGCGGGATACTTCACATACACGTCCAACTGTATTTGCAATATAACATAGGTAGGCCATGGCAACAACAAACCAGTACCAAATGCTTCCCCCTCTTTTAAAGTATGTTTGATAGTGTGTCAGTTTAACAGAACCGGTTTCGCGCCATTCATCCTGCTGGAACTTGCCTGGCGATTTTTTGTTTTCAGCGGCAACATTGTTTGTCAGAGTGTTTGTATGCCCTTGGGATTCACGAGACAAGATTTCGTGTAAAGAACCTCCGTTCGTGTCAAGTCCTTCCATATCGTCCTCTGCCGCATCATTTCGTTCTGCGTCGTTATTGGCCTTGTCAGCCAGAATTTCTGTTAGTTCGCCAGTTCTCCTCAATTCCTCAACAGAGCCGGCATGTCCAACGGTCCCATCCTGGAGATAGACAGAGTAATCCGTCTGGCCTAGACACAACGCCACATGGTGAGTGGCGAGAATCCGTGTTCTTCCCTGACCAAGTTCTCCAGTAAGAGCATGTTCGAGGAGATGTCGACCAGTATGGGCATCTAATGCACTAAACAGATCATCCATGATAAGAATACCAGCGCGAGAATACAGGGCTCGTGCAAAAGATATTCGCCATTTCTGGCCACCGCTAAGATTGATGCCATTGGCGCCGATATCCGTCAGTTCTCCGTCAGGAAGCATATGAAGATCATTCTCCAAAGCACAAGCAAATAGCACTTTATGATATCTCTCTGAGTCAAATGGAAGTCCAAAGAGAATATTATCCTTGATGGTGGCATTTTCAATCCATGGTATTTGAGCCACAAAAGCAATTGCTGAGTCGATGGTCCAGTTGTCCCTGTTTGCATATTCATCAAATCTATCTTCAAGAGGTGGGGCTTGGGGAACACGAACGACTCCACTCAGTATATCAGATTCACCAAGGATAGACGCAAGAAGCAGACTTTTGCCAGAACCTGTCCTCCCAGAAATAACACTAAGGCCTTTGGACGGGAACTTGAGACAAATATTATGGATACTGAATCTGTCTTCAGCCTGATCGGGATCCTCAACGGGCCATGCAATAGTTGCATTTTCAAAAGAAATAGAATCTGCCTGCTGCGTGTTGTGAATATTTTCAGCAGAACTAAAATGTTTTTCAATTCTTTCCGCGCTAACCCAGGCTTCGATGAAATCAGTTATTAGCTCTGGAAGAAGAGCAAGCGTTAGTTCCAGTGACGAGAAAATAGAAACAGTGGTAAAAGCAACCGATGCTGATAATTCGCCGTAGATGGAATAATATACTCCCAGAGACACGGCGGAGAGCATCACAGGTCCAAGAATCCAAATACCAATAAGAACGACATCATAACTGAACACTGTCCACTGGGCATTTAGCTCTGCTGAGCGTATCTCTCCAATTTTGCGTTGCCACTGATTCTCAAGTGCAGAAAATTTGACTTGACGGATACCCTGAAGGACTTCAGTTACGACAGCCATTTTCTGGTCACGAAATTTCATCAAGGAAACTTGAGATGCAGTATATCTGTTGGCAACAAAAATATTGACCGGAGTGATTATCACGGAAACTAAAAGACCTGAACAAAGACTCTTCCAACCAATTAGCATCCCCAAAATGGTGAAAGAGGTAGCCAGCTTAATAATGGTGGCAGGGATAAAATGGTTGTAAGCGGCAAAATCGGAAACACGCTTAGCATCAACAGCAACAAGATTGATGATGCCTTGATTGGTCGCCTGAGTATCATCTTCTTCTTCGTTGTCGTCTTTCGTTAGCTGGATACCGGTCTGATCGGATGGTTGGTTGTCTCCGTGGGTCGACATTTGTAAGCCCTTAACATTCTTTCGGCGCATACATTTTGTGAATACAACGGCAGCAATCTGTTCATAGACTGCGATGCATAGCTTTGAAAATGATATCCAGAAAAGCCAAGACTCAATTGTGGAATAAACTATCATTGAGATTCCCAGAACGAAGACCCATGCCCATGCTTCTGAGGGATCCCATTCTCCACGACTTCGTGTCTCTAGCGAGCGAAGGATCTGAAGTAGGCACAGTTGGGGTCCGAAGCTCAGGAGAGAGGACAGTATAACCAAAACAAACTGAAGAAGAAGCGGCGATCTATATCGATATATCAACACTTTCCAGAGCCTTGGAGACTTGTGTTTTGCTTTGTTGAATGATTCAAGGAGAGATGAAGCGCGACTTGGATAGTCTAAATCAGGAAGATAATCGATTTCCAACTTTTTATTTTTCCGTATTTCCTTAAGCAATGGACTGGCCCAGCTGAAGAAGATACGCCCAAACCAAGATGTTGTATATTGAGCGTCTACAACTTTCCCATTTCTAAAAACATGCGGACGACGGGGAAGGAGTATTGAGTTGCATCCACAAATGACGGCAACCACTAATTGCACTAGGGTTAGGATATCATTCATGCGGCTCAGATACGGCCAAGGGGATTTTGGAGTTAGGAAAACGGTTCGAATGGCAACAGTTGCAAGGTATATGAGGAGCGATATCGCTATACGAAGTCCGATGGTGAATTTCTTAGTGGGTGATGGCTCAATAAGCAACCCAACAGCATTCAATACAATTAAAAGCTATAGCAATTTAAGTTAGCCGAGAGGAAGATTTGCAGTAACTGTAATGTATCTTATGAACATACCCAGATCGAAAATAGAAGCCATGACTCGAGCGTGCGTAAACGATCGTCCCCAAGAGTTGAAGAGATAGACGCCCCCAATGACACAAGGAGACCAATAACGGAAAAACATGTTATTGATACACAGTAAACCTTCTGTGAAAAGTTTTGCACTGACGTTTCCGTAGCACTTCCATCATGATCCCGGTATATATCTCGAAGAGTAATATATCCACCTCGTTTTAGAACGGAGAATCGTGCTAGGATTGCACGTAGGCCAGAAATGCTGCAAAGAACAACAAGAAAAAGGCCAGAAGCTCCGACAACAAGAGCAGAACTGTGTTGATCGATCATGGTGATCAGTATATTGTCGGAAATGAAATCAGCTTCTCCTTAGCTACCCTGAGATTTCCTTCTTTCCCGGTCAATTTACAGACCTTCGATATCGAATTCTCCCCTCTTTCTCTTGGCAAAATGTTGTTGTCAAACTCTTTTATATCGACAAATTGAAGAGAAAACTCTGATGGAGCGCCCGAATAGGACTGACAATACCGCGGGAGATAAATATAAATTTAAAATGTATCTGCAGTGGTGCCAGTTCTTATAAAATCTGTGTAGAAGGCTGTGAGAAGAGTGGAGCTTAGCCTACACGCAACCTCACAAGGTGGCGGTGGGGTTTAAAATTATTAATCAGGGCTGCATAGTGCGGGGATAGAGAAACCAAGAGTGAGTCAACATGAGCAGTTGATATGAATGACACGGTGATATTTGTCGAAAACAGAACAGAATCACTATTTGTTAACAATAAGATTGGGGAACGGCAATTCGGTGTCCAACATAGAAAACAAACCGAGTGACTAGTTCTTTTTTATGATGAGCCATGAACTTGGAGGAGTTCGTGGGTGTTGACAGCCTAGTACTTCCATTATGAACAGCTCCCTGCATTGGATCCGTTGAGATCCCAGTGCTGCTCCTTCACAGCCAAAGATCCAAGGCTGTGAGACGGGGGGCCCAAAGGCCGTACCAGCGACAAACTGGCCAGTGACCAATCACTCATTTGTCCATTCGCTGACACTTGCATCAGCAATTTGGATTTTGCAGCAGAAGCATCAAATACCACATTCTTCTACTTCGGGCGAAGAGATCTGGATTTCCTCGTTGGAGTTCACCGTGCGCGTCGTAGAAATCATGAAACGCGCAGAGCAAGAATTAGCCTGTGAGTCTGTGACCACACCGCTTCGAAGTTTGCGGGAAATCTTGATCAACTGCCTCCACACTAGGCGAGATTAGGTCCCGGAGATGGCTACCGCCATAAACCAACCAACTAACGGAGAGTTTGAACCCAGGTCTGACTCACTGAATTTAGTATTTTCCTCGGAGAACCATTGCGGATGATGTCCAGGAGTAACTGGATTGGCCCGTTTTCGCATATTCAAGATATGAAGAGGCACTGTATTAATGCATCTATCTTTCACTTTCTTTCGACTTTTGAGGACTTTCAACATTGATCCCGGGCCAAACATTAGACATAGCTGGCGGGGTAACTAATTGACGGACTTGCGGTGCAGGGATATAGGTCGTATTTAGGCATCCGATGACAGCCACGAACCGCTCAAAAGGATTGGTTAGAACTTGGAACACGCTTTACCCAAGAGAGTCTCCGATATTCTGTTGCCATGTTGCCAAACCAAGCAAATCCTAACGGATTTTGGGAGGGCCATGCAGTTGCACAGGATTTGGAGAAACAAAAATTTTCAACCAATTTCTTTTCGAGAGGTTTATTCATGGCAGGTCCAACACCTCAGTAGCTGACGAGATGAGAATATTAAGGATGGTGAAAGCTTTACGTCATTGTGTGGTTCGCATTTCCAAAATGTAACTGCGTCTGAGTTAATATTATATTAGTTGAGAGCCATCTTCTCAGAGAACATGAAGGATAGGCTTGTTGTGTCTTGGGCAGTTCGTTCTTTGCGAATAACATTGCTACTCCTTGGAGTTGAGGACGTATCAGCTTCGACCGTATTTGCGAGGATTAACCGGGCCCTTGTGGTTGATTTCATAATCAACCTCCGGTCGGACCCTCGCATAAAAGGGTCCGCCACCTCAACGTGAAATATTTTTTTATCTAGGATATTAAATTAATTTATCAACAAATGTAGCAAGATTCATTAAATACAACTTGATTATGCAGTAGACAATCTATTTGTGACTCTTCCTAGTAAATTTGGTGGCTCTAACATTAATACCCTTGTCTCTACAATATCATTTAAATTTCACTAAACTAGCTGGTCTATATTTTGACCAGATCCTTTTTCAACCATTCTATCCAAACCTAACTCACCACCTTTACCACGCGTTTTCTCAACCACATTATTAAAATGAAATCTAATAATAAAGCTGCTATAGCTGCTGCTATAGAGGATTTAAAAAATGATGTTTTTCAATCTGAACAAGCTACTGCTAAAGTATATAATATCTCATTAAGTATATTAAAGAGTAGAAAAAATAATTTCATTCAACAAACAATTGCTCATCAACATTGACAAAAGTTGACTTCAGAGCAAGAGATCTTTCTAGTTTAATGAATAAAAGAGCAAGATTTGCAAGAATTTTCACCCTCTCACACATGTGTATGAGAAATGGAGACTCAAATTCTACAAATAAATTGAGATCTCATATAGCTGAGTAAGAATTGAATAAGAAAGTTTCTAAAACAAAATCCTATGATAAGATTCATGATTGGCTGAAGGATTGAGTCTCAAGAATGAAGAATACTCAGCAGAAAACGCTTCAGCAGTTCTATAACTACTTTTCTGAGACACAACAGACTCATGAGATGATAGTCATGAATGTTACGGCGCAGCTGCTTGTATATGGATTAAGGTTGATCCGCTCCGCTACTCTCTAAAGGTTGATCCGTTCCGACCTCAACCATATTTAGTTGCTCATATTGATCTGATCCGATCCTCAACCATATCTGCTCCAAAGGCTGATCCGATCCGATCCCCAACCACCTCTATATATTCGGCTGCTCGTTCATTCCACATTCTCATCCCCAGTTTAGTATTCTCGTCGCAGCTGCCTAGTTAGATAGATGAATTGAAGCTGTTGTCTTGTTATCATCCTGACTCTAGTTGAGTCATGACATTGAAAATATATGAAATATGAATGAGTATGATATTACTTTAGAAGTATATACAAACATCAAAGTACTTGTTGAGTAAAGGAAAGATAAAATTTATATTAAATCTTCCTCTAATTGTGAATGAGTTTAAATTCTTGAAGCTATTAATGCTGATGAGCACTATATGTTAGGGAGCGAATGCGAGCTGCATAAGGAAACTCTCTGCGTTGCTAACTGCTATGTAACGAAATTCTAAGGTTGGTGAGGAAAAGGGGTGTCAGGGTCTGCTCAGATCATAAACAGCTCACATGATCATGTGACCAGATCATGACTGATCCACTAGGTTACGTGTGGGGCGTGATCACGTGATGGATATGAACCTAGCCCCAGCGCTGAGCCTAACATCACCCCTTGATCTAGAAACAGGCATGCCCTCATGCTGGGAGATTGTCATCATCTTCATCTTTCAGATAACTGCCTGTCTCCCATGCTCTTACTCATTCATCTAGGCATTTCAGTGGTCCAGCTTTAGTAGGGTTGGCCTCATGGAAATCTCATATTGTGTATAGTGATTATAAGGCGCTGAACCCCTAGATTCGCTCTGGCTGGCTGACTCAGCCTAGCCATCGTTTGCACGTGCGCACGTGATCATGCTACACGAGCTTGCTTAAGCTCATGTTCTCATCTCATTCTTTTCTTCCCTTTCCCAAGCAATTTGTCCTTGTTATATAGGAGGACTAGCCTCTAGTTCTTAGAGCTTAACCCTCTACATTATGAATTGCTTCACTCCTTTCATTGATAGGCCACTGGGAGCCTTAATTCTATATCATAAAGCTCAGCAAATATGCTGATATATGATAGGCTATTAAAAGTCTTAAATTCTACATCACAAAAGTTCAGTGATAGCACTGATATATGAATAGACTGAGTTAGCAATCATACTAACAAACAAATAAGCAACATTGAAAATGTCTAGCTGAATGAGATAAAGTGACAGACTTGTACAATGAATACACAAATGAATCAATACAAAGCAATGAACAGGGACACCTCTAGCAGCTTTGAACAACAATGAATAGTCTTTCTTCAACAGCAGAAACAGGTTCAGTGTGAGAACAAAGATTTAATAGCAGCTCAGCAAGCTGAAATAGCTAATCTATAACAAGCTTTGAACACTTCAACATCAATTCTCTCTCAATTGAATCTGCAATCACTCATTGCAGTCAGAAGATCAAAGACCAAGCTATCAGACTGCAAGAAGTATGATGATTCTAATCTGAAGCACTACCCTCAGTGAGAGCTAAAGCTTTAGTCAAAACTTAAGATTGATGAGAAAGCTTTAAGTAATAATGAGAAATATGCTTGGTATATGTATTCAAGACTAGAAGAAATGGCAGCAGCTTGAGTTTATCTCTGAGTTGAGAATAATAAGAACAAGATCAACTTCATGATAGAGAGCTTACTGAAGCAGACATGCATGCTCTTTAGTGATTCTGCATGACAGAAAAAGGCTATGCAAAAGCTCAACAATCTATGACAGAGTAGAAAAGCTCTCTTTGACTTTCTGCCTGAATTTAATCAGCTACTGCTGGAAGCTAGTGATCATGGATGAGATGATCATGTTAAAAAGAGGTATTTGAAATCTGCTCTAAGCATGGAGCTGAGGGAAGGCATGGTGGGTGTAAGAGAACTGTCTATCTATGAGAATTACTGCAAGGAGTTTAGATTAGTTGATCATCAACTCTCTGAGCTTAAGACTTTAAGGTAGTAGTCTAAATGTCATGAGAGCAGATCTTCTTTGAATTATATGATATCTAATCTACACTCTCTACTTTATCATGCTGTCCTTGACTGATGAAACTGGTCTCAAGCTTCTGCTGATAATCTGATGAATTTCTTTACTGGTGCTGTGACCTCAAGCACCCACCACATCAAATTGATAAATCAGACAGAGGTTAATCAATGAAGAGAGCAAGGCCTGTGCCTGAGATATGGAGCCAGAGGTCATATGATTAAGAGCTGCTTATTCAAATCTCTCAGACACTCTGCCACTCCCACAATAGCTAAGATGATCCCTGAGCTGGTACTAGACAATGATGATGTGGATATGAGTGAGGATTTGAGAAAAGAGTAGCTTCAACCAAAAGACACTGAAAGGAGTGAAATAAGAAGCTTATGAGAAAGCAATGAAAAAGATTTAAATCTAAGATGATATTCAAACCTTTCACTGTTGATGCTCTAGTAGATAATGTCTTTTTGACTAGAGCAATGATAAACAGTGAATGTAATGTCTATGATCTTATTTCTCAATTCTATGTTAACAAGCATAAGCTTCTGTGCATTGAAATTCCCTCTGTTAAAATAACTGGCTTTGAAAACTCTATGAGACTCTCCACAAGCATAGTGACTGGCATTTGAATTGATATAGGCAGTCACATAATTGAATGAGCCTTTTTCTATGTGGTGAATGAGTTACATGATCATGATATATATTTAGATGACCCCTGGCTGGCCCAGCAAAAGATAACCATGATCCCTCATCAAAGAATTGTGAGATTTGAAGAGAGTGGCATAGAGGTAGAGCTTAGTTCAAATGCAAAAGCTGATGTGATTCTCATCTCTGCTGTAAGCTTTTCCAGACTTGTGAGCACTCAAGAGAAGTGAAACATTGAGATTTTCACTGTTAGTTTGACTGACATTCAAAAGACTCTAGAAGTGAAATCAAAGATTGACTCTAGAGAAAAGCTGCTTGAACATTATCATGAGTTTTTGAATGTATTTGATAAGGAAGCTGTCAACACTCTACCCTCACTTCATGGCCCAGGTAGAGATCATAGGATTGAACTGATTAAAAAGGCTGATGATAGCACAGAACAACTCCTTTAGAGCTCATTATATAATATATCTCAAGAGGAACTACTGGCTTTGCAAAAGACTCTTACAGATTATGTAGATAAGGATTTTATTAGAGTGAGCAACTCCTCTGTGACTGCCCTCATACTATTTACAAAGAAGCTTGGAGATGGGCTAAGATTCTGTATGGACTATTAAGCTCTTAACAAAATCACCTGAAAGGATTGATATTCTCTATCATTAATCAGTGAGACTCTACAGTGAATTGGACAGACTAAATGATTCACTAAGCTGGACATTATTGCAGCTTTTCACAAGATTCAAATCACAGAAGATGATGAGTGGATAATAGTCTTTAGAACCAGATACAGGCTATTTGAGTGGCTGGTTACACTCTTTAGTTTGACTAATACTCTGAGCACATTTCAAAAATATATCAACTGGGCATTACATAGATATCTGGACAACTTCTGCTCAGCCTATTTAGATGACATCTTGATATTTTCCTCAAGAAGCTTACAGGAGCATCATAAGCATGTACAAAAGATGTTTATACATCTACAGGAAGCAGGCCTGCAGGCAGATATCAGAAAGAGTGAGTTTGAGGTGAACAGCACAAAATATCTTGAATTTATCATTGAAGCAGGCAAGGATATATGAATGGATTTAGAGAAGGTTAAAGCTGTTTTGAAATGAGTGACACCTACTACTCTTAAAGATATACAAGGATTTTTAGACTTTGCCAATTTCTATAGATGATTTATCAGAGATTTCTCAAAGATTGTGATCTCACTGATGATTCTTATATGCAAAAATGTTCCTTTTTTGTGGATGAGCAAGGCTGAGGAAACTTTTAAGTATCTAAAATCAATGTTTATCTTTGCTCCAATCTTGCTTCAATTTGACTCTGACTGTGAGACTATATTGGAAATGAACTTCTCAGATTACATCTCAGAAGAAGTGCTACTACAATATGATGAGCAGAGTATTCTACATCTATATGCCTTCTTCTCTTGCAAGCATTCACCTGCAGAATGCAACTACAAGATTCATAATAAAGAGTTATTAGCAATAATTAAGTATTTAAAGAAATAGAATACTGAGCTATGAAGTGTAAAGGAATTCAAAATCCTCACAGATCATAAGAATCTAGAATACTTCATGACTACATGCAGACTAAATGAAAGACAGCTATGTTGGATAGATATTCTCTATTGATTCAACTTTAAAATTGATTACTGGCCAGAGAAGTTGAACACTGAATCAGATGCTATATTATGAAGAGAGAAGAACATATCACAGAGTGCTGATGATAAGAGAATCAAGCAGAGACAAGCTCAACTACTTAAGTTTAATATACTGACATGTGGAATGGAATCAATAGTGGCTGCTGTCAGTATGAAACCTGAGATGTCTCTTCAAGCTCAGTGAAATGAGACTTGCAAAAATGACAAGATTCTGCAGTGTCTGTAGCAAATTCTTTATGAGAGAAGATTCAGATTTTCTTCTGAACTCAGCATTAATACCTCTGTCTCTGAGTGCTCTTTAAACAAGAACAAAGAGCTTCTCTTTCAAGATTGTAAGTGAGTGCCAGACTTTGAACTTCTTTGAACCAGGTTAGTATATGAGACTCATGACTCACCTCTTACTGGCCATTCTGAGTGAGAGCAAATGGCAGGAGTTCTAAGATATGAGTTCTACTGGTCAGGCTATACTGCTGATGTGAGAAAAATGATCAAAAACTGTCATCTTTGCAGATTAAATATCACATGAAAAGATTGACATCAGGAACTGCTTAAGCCTCTCCTTATTCCTAAATACATATGACAGTAGCTTTTTATGAACTTTATCATGAACTTACTGAGCTCTAAAGAATATACAAACATCATGATTATAACAGACAGACTAATCAAGAGAATTATATTAAAAGCAGTTAAGAAAACTGATGCAGAGACAGTGGCTAGAGTGTTTCTTCACAACATAATCTCTCAACATGACATCTGTAAGATGATAGTGTCAGATTGAGGGTCAGCTTTCACAAGCATGTTTTGAACTTGAGTGTGTGAGAAATTAGGCATTAAGAGATGACTCTTCATAGCCTATTACTCAGAGACTGATGGAGCTACAGAATGAATGAATCAGACTCTGAAAATCTACCTACACAAGTATATTAGCTTTCAACAGAATGACTGATGTGAATGACTCTCTCTAGCAGAGCTGATTATCAATAATAGAGATACTACCTCAACAGATGTGAGCTCATTCTTTTTAACACATCTTTTTCATGTCTCTTTCATTGATATAGCTGATGCACTCCCTGTTGAAATGTCACATAATTTCATTGAGTTTGCAGATGATTATATGAGAAAGGCCTGTGAAGTATTGAAGTGAGCTCAAGTAAAAATGACAGATGCTCAGCAATCTCAAAAGAAATACATGAATAGATGAAGAGACCTGGCTTCAAGCTTTCAACTTAGAGATAAGGTCTGATTGAGCTTAGAGAACATGAGAACTAATCATCTGTGCAAGAAGCTGAACACAAAATACAATCAATATATCATGCTAAAAAAGATAGAATTTCATGCTTACTGACTGAATATCTCATCTAACATTCACAATGTCTTTAATGTAAAGCTTCTACATGCTGTGATGACAGATTTCCTGCCTAGTCAGAGACAAACTGACTGATAGCCATCTGCTATAAAAATCTCAGAAGGACCTGAGTTTGAGATTGAGGAAAT